AATGATGTTATGAGTGTTGCCGTTGCATAGTTTATACACCAGAGGTCACTCTGCAACACGTTTGGAATGCCACAAAAAAGAATATCGGCTGATGTATCTGTCTTAAAATTCCCATATTGGTCGGGCTCTAATTTGGATACCCAGAACAACAAAAAAGAGTCTAAAAAAAAACGAATAACAACTTCAACTTCTGCTGAGACAAGCTGGGGTCTGAAATTGCTTGTGTTCTTAAGTATTTAGTTTGTTAAAGGAGGGTGTGCTCTCCAGCACAGGGAGAGTCACGCTTTAATTTTTATGCTCTCAGTATAGCGAAGCGTTGGTTGTACTGTTCAAATAAAGATCTATGTGACTGTTGATGAGTTGCCAGGTAGAGCAGGAGGTTACTTTAATGATTGCGCCTGGCTGTAGGCAACACAGACTCATCTGTTTTCTTTCTCTCACGCACGCACGCACACACACTGCTCTACCCTGCACAAGGTTCCAACGCCCCAGGCACCCAGTCAGTGAATCCTGCACCGTTATGCTGGGATCTAATAAACTTGCATGTGTTTATTTGCATACACATGGAGACATGACACAGTGAAATTTGTTTTTTTGCTGGAGGCAAGCTTACATTAAGTAACTCTGTAGGTATATATTGCAACTGTTGTAGTTTGTCAAGAAAATATTTTTTGTAGTGTGGACTCACTGGATTAACTGTTTTTTGGAAAATTTTCCCCCCTGGAATGAATATTTTTGTCGGCAAAGTTAGAAACTCAAAGCAAACACAAAAACAAACTGCAATGCCCCGTGGCTAGTTTTCAAGAACTGAATTTCAAATTTGAATCAGGCGAGTAGTGACGCAGATGTGATGGAAAGTTGATAGTTTAATTGATTTGTTGCCCACCTGTGTATAAGTACACCCTGTTTTGTCACTCCTGCTCAATGTGTGTCCTCCAGGCTTCCTATGTTCTCTGGTGCAGAAAGCCACAGTGACTTTAATTCACTTCAAGGCAAGCGTATTTGTATAGCACATTTCAACAACAAGGCAATTCAAAGTGCTTTACATAATACATAAAACATAAAAACAACAAAGGGAAATTGAAAAAATAAAACACATTATAAAAACAGGATACAAAATAGGTTAAAACAGGACAGTAAAAGTTACAGTGCAGTGTACAATCAGGGTACTGAAAATATAAAAACAAAGAAAATGAAAACCGGACGTTACAGTGCAGTGAAAGGTACCAATATATGGCTTTAATTTAATTTAATTAAAAGCAATGGTAAAAAGAAAAGTCTTCAGTCTTAATTTAAAAGAGCTGACAGTTTCAGCAGACCTGCAGTTATCTGGGAGTTTGTTCCAGATATACGGAGCATAATAACTGAACGCTGCTTCTCCTTGTTTAGTTTTGACTCTGGGGAAAGAAAGCAGACCTGCCCCAGACAACCTGAGAGGTCTGGATGGTTCATAAAGAAGCAGAAGACCAGAAATGTATTTTGGCCCTAAACCATTTAGTCTTTTATAAACTAACAGCAGGATTTTGAAATCAGTTCTTTTGACATACAGGAAGCCAATGTAAAGACCTCAGAACTGGAGTGATGTGATCCACTTTTTTGGTCTTAGTGAGGACTCGAGCAGCAGCGTTCTGTACATAGACTGTATATAAGAAATTTATACACCCGTTGGTTTGTGGACTGCCGTTTTGAAGCTTCGAGTTTGGCCAATAGGCTGCTGTCATGTCGAGTTTTTGCAACCAGGAAGTGCCCGGAAGTGACGATACAGTGGAGCTAACAGCCGTGTGCGGAGCTAGCTACTGTGCTTAGCTAGGTGCATCTGTAACTCACGTTAACTGTCATTTTAACAGGGCAGATAACTTTGTCTAGAGAACAACAGGCTTAAAACTAAATGTACTCACCAGAGAAAGTGAACAGCCGACTCCTATTTTAGAATAAATGGGACTATAGTTTACTAAATCAACCTCATTTTGTATTGAAGAAGACTTGAAACTAGCAACTGAGGCCATAAACTCATTATCAAAGTGTTTACTGAGGTAATAAATCAGCTGAGAAGTAGGGTCATTTTACCATTATTTCTTCTTTTTGCAACCTTAAGAGTTGCCCCCTGCTGGATTTTCAATAGAATGCAGGTTTCAGGGACTTCCGCATCGGCTTCATATTGTAGACCGGAAGCTTCTCGCTTGGTTCTGTATCAGCTGCAGCTGTCTGATGGATTTCTTAGGGAGCCCTGTAAAGACACAGTTACAGTAATCAAGTCGACTGATGATAAATGCATGGATAAGTTTTTCCAGGTCCTGCAGAGACATAAGTCCTCTAATCCTTGATATATTCTTGAGGTGATAGTAGACTGACTTTGTAATTGTCTTAATGTGGCTCCTTAGATTCAGGCATGAGCCCATGACTACACTAAGATTTCTGGCTTGGTCTGTGGTTCTTATCATTACTGATTGAAGCTGAGCACTGACTTTTAATCGTTCTTCCTGGCTCCAAAAACAATGACTTCAGTTTTATTTTTGTTCAATTGAAGAAAATTCTGTCATCCAATCGTTGACCTGATCAATACAGTCACCCAGTACCTGTATGGGATCATAGTCCCCTGGTGATATCGTTATGTAAATCTGTGTGTCATCTCCATAATTAAAAATGCTATTATATTTTGTTGTTTTTCATAATCTGAGCCAGTGGAAGCATGTAGATGTTAAACAAAAGAGGCCCCAGAATGGAGCCTTGGGGAACTCCACAGTCATTTTTGCTAGATGTGTAATTACCTATAGACACAAAGTAGTCCCTGTCTTTTTAGTAGGATTCAAACCAGTTTAGTACTGTGCCAGAAAGTCCAACCCAGTTTTCATGTCTGTCGAGTAATATGTTGTGGTCAACCGTGTCGAATGCAGCACTGAGATCCAATAATACTAAGACTGAAATTCTGCCACTGTCAGTGTTTAAATGGATGTCATTGAAGAACTTAACAAGAACCGTCTCAGTGCTGTGGTGTGGTCAAAATCCTGATTGGATTTGTTTGTAACTATCCCTCTCAGGCAATTCAGTACATGATACAGCTACATCTGTCACAGTTGATTTAAAGATTAATGTTGCTTGATACACAAGCTTTTGTACATAAATTAAAATTAGTTTTTCTGTTGATAAAGAAGTAATTGTATGAATAAGTAGCATGAGTTGGTCTTGCTAACGTCACTAGCTCCTGCAGGTAGCGCTCATGTCAGTGCTATTTTCAAACCATTTAGGGAGCTTTATAGTGCCAAACGACGCTTCCCTTCTGGGTGAGTTTCCCCCGCCCCACAGTGGCTTGTAGGTATGTGACTGGGAAACCCCAGGAGAGTGGTGTGTCACGCACACACATACAGACACTCGAGGCACAGGAGCACAGACAAAGTGTGGGAGATGTGTGGTTAAGTGGTTTTAATGATTGTAGTCATGTACGTGACTATTGATTTTACAATGCATGTTTTTTAATCTTTCCACTCCAAGTAGCCTATTAGTTTTATTTTGTGGGGAGAAAGGCATCAGGAGAGGGTCTAATTAAACAGAAAAGATGATCATAATGTCAACGTACATGTAAACAAGAGCTCTGGTCCCAAACAACTAGAACATGCCCTTAACAATCGTTCTCCCTGGCAAATGTTTAACAGCAGAAGCTAACTCTGGTCAATTTCAGACCTGCAGGAAACCGAGGGAGAGGTGCTACCATGGTCATGTGTTCAGCCAATTGGAGCAGCAGGCAGAGCCAGGACAAAATCACATAATTGGCTCTCTGTGCGAGTAATCCCCAGGTTTTAGCACATTTTTAGTATATACTGCTGATATTGCTCAGTCTGCAGTTTGTCCTGTGTGCAAGAGTAGATATACATACTTCTGTGCAAACTATGCAAAACGCCACCAAATAGCTTTTGTATATACAGGGATGGTCCCTCCTTTCCAAGTGTCTAACAGGAAGTTGGTTCTCTGTCCGCCAGTGACCGATAAAGTGCTTTGCCCCTCCTCTTTATCCACCCTTCCCTGCATGTCTGTGGAGTAATTCTGCCTGACCTAGATGAGCTGCATGCTGAGTGTCAGCGTGCAAAGTCTGCAAAGAGAGTGCAGTGTGGTCATTTTGGTTCAGTCTGCCTATAATTAATCACACAGTACCAATCTTGGAGGCAATAAGTAAACAAAAAGTCAATATTAAATGAGAGATTGATTTTATGTTGCCTGTAAATGTTACCACTGTAGAGAAAGAGGGCACAGTCATGGTATTTGTTTGTGTTTGTGGAAAAAGTTTTTATAATGATTCCAGTGAATTTCACAACTGCTACACTGTTGCATGTTAGTCGAGGCTGAATGTTGGCCTGCCTGTCTTCCCTGCCTGGTGGGTGTGGCCCTGTGAGTCACAGCTGCACAATGCATGGCAAACTCAAAATTTACAACATATTCATGGTGTGTTTCCACTTACGGTTGGTTTTGGATTGCAGTGAGTGGAGTAGAATGTTTTATGTTCCCAGCCTACTTGCATACTTTGGGATGTTTATGTGGCTCTCTTTTTGTCCTTTTTTTTCAATTTTTTTTCTATCTATTTTTTTTTTTGCAATTTGACTTTTCAAAGACACACTGTGCCACTTCTTTTGTCTTGTGTTCTCCCTTCCTTGTGAGTCACTTCCTGTCAGGCCCACTGCCAGTTGCAGGGAACAACAGCTCTCTCGTGTTTTGTTTTGTTTTTTTGTTTAAAACAAGAAAGCCTCTATGAAGTTGACTTGCTGATGATGACGCACACATCAGGCAAAGTGCAGGATATCCCCGTTCAGTATTGATTTGAGAGTGAAAGTCGGTCCAGGCTTGTTTGTTGTCTCTAAATGAATCCAGTGCAGCAGACATAAGAAACTTTCTGCCCTTCTCTCACTCATTAAACCACTTGTTTTTTCCCCTTTTCTTTCTCCCCCGCTTTCTAACTTTCCCACTCTTTCTGCTCCCCTCTTCCCTCGTTTCCTCCCTCCTGTCTCCCGCAGCTCCAGCTACTCCACGGCAGCATTAGAGTTTGAGAAGGCGCACCAGATTGGCGCTGTGTACGAGTCGCCCAGGATGTCACGGCGGAGCCTGCGTCTACAGACCAGTGCCGGTCACTATGGCAACGAGAGCCTGGCTGATTACTCCCAGAACCGCAACAGCTACACGAGCACCAGGAGAGAGTCACGGTGAGACTAGCAATGGATACTGACGCTCTCACGTCAGCTTACCAGAGAGTATCAGTAAATGTCATTTCATCGTTTTCATCCATTTATGTCTGTCTGAGCGTGACGCTACCGTACCAACCCTTTTGTGTGACGCATTTCCATTAACTGCCACAGCAGCTGTTAAGACCGCAAGCGTGTTGAGGTTTATCAGAGCTCACTGGGACACGCTTGATTAATGAGGACATCCCATGGTTCACACAAGTACATAGTTTGATTGAGCTTGAGATGTTTTGTTGGTTTTATTTAATTCCCACTTAATAAAAAAAAATAAGTAGGATCAACCATACAGTGTTGGTTACATTGAGATGCTGGCAAAAAACAGCAACACATGAATGAGGAGCTAAGAGGAGAAACACAACTAATAAAGCAATTAGATTAAGAAGCATGGAGCTCTACGGTACATAAGAGACACAACATGCATTGGTTTGAAACCTTTCTGCCGGTTACTTTTTGTTTTTTTTAAGGAAGAGAACATATTTTTCAAAATCATTGATAAAAAGATATGAAGTTTAAATTTATGTTGACAATGTCAGATGCAATATCATTCTTAGAAGTGCCATTAAGAAGAACAGATATTTGATGTGTGACAACCTTCTGCATAGTGTAATGATAATATTTATTAATATTTGTTCATTAATGCCGTCCTAAAAACCAGCCTAGAGGCGCATTACTGTCTACAGCTAGTCTGATGTTGGATACACACCCTTGCTTCAAAGCTTTGTGTATCCAGTGTGGGTTATCAGTGTGGTTTATGTGGGACACAGTGTCCTCCTACCTGGTGCCCCGTGAACGGCCATAAACGTGGGTACTGGCACAGACGCAACTCTGCATATCTTTCTAGTGTTCTCAACATGCCTCTGTCACTCTCATATACATGCAGCAAAACTCACACCTCTTCGTGTTTCCTGTCTCTGCCCTCCCAGGACGGTGCGGAGCAGAAAGCAGCAGTCCGGTTCCAGCAACCTGTCTTTATCCCTGAGCCAAGCCGCCACGCCGAGGAAAACCCTCTCCTTCTCTGCTGTTAATACACCGGTTAACAGCAGCAGCAGCTGCGTCACTCAGGAAAGCAACACAGCGTCTGATGCCTCTTTGCTCACCTCCATCATGGATCAGCCCGATCTGAGACAGCGCACCATCACCACAACCACAACCACCACTTCTGTGGATGGACACTGGGGTCAGTTGTTGAAAATATAGATTCCATCGCAAATTACACATTGGATTTAAGCATCTTTCTACCATGCAGGATATATAACTTTATATAACTAAGTTTCCCTCTGACAATGAGTGAATTACCTAATTTTAAAGTTGTATTTAGTGAGTGAGTTGTTCTTGTTGTCAGTAGACATGGGTCTACATTTCCAGGTGAGAGTTTTTTGAGTGATTCCTTCAGCCGCTATCAAAAAGCAAGCATGACTTATTCAGTCTCTCTTTGGGCTATCTGGCGTTGTTGACCTAACATTTGCGGTAAAATTAAACTGTTGGAAGAAAAGGCACTGTATATGTGAAAAAATAATATTCAGTGGAAGTAAAAACACACAGCTGGAATAGTAAATAATAATAATACGTTAAATATTAGTTTTGGTTATAACCTACAGTATGTGGTCAATATAGTAAACAGTTAAGGAAATTAACTACGTACAATAACTGAAGTACTGTTTAACTTGATTTCTGAGTTATTTGTACTTGGATAAAACTTTAATTTTGCACTACTTTATTCTTATATTCCACTTTATTTCAAAGGGAACTATTGTACCTTCTGCTCCTCTTGGGCAGTTAGTTACTTTGCAGTTAAGGATTTCAAAAACCTAGGTGCATGTCAAATGCCCAATGTTATGTTATGTTGTTATGTAATATGTTAAAGCACCGAAGTTATATAAAATGAGTAAGATAAACTCTGTCAGTCGGTTTCAACATAAAAATGCAGTTTATATGTTGCTGCTGCATTAATAACACGAAGAAGAAGAATCCAATGGTAAGATATATAATAATGTAACACTGACAGAGTGCATTTTTTCTAAATAGTGAGTACATTTACTTTTATACTATTTACATGTATCAAAGTATTTTGAAATTGTAATATTGCCACGTTTACCCTAAGTAAAGTATCCTTAATACTTTTCTCATCATTGTAGAAATTTACTGCTCCTCTGTGTAACTCTGACAGTGAGTTTCTTCCAAGTGAAGCAAAAACATACATACTTAGTAATGTCTTTGCACTAACACTTATGAATACAATAATAAAGAATTAATGAGTCTTACTTATCTGCGTGCATGCTGCTCTCGCTCAGGGAGGAGCTCCGGTGCCGAACACAGTTCATCAAGTGTCAACGGCGATACCAGTGCGTCAAAGTCCCACACCTCGCTTGCCAACGGTTACATCTGCAAAGACTGCTCTTTTCACTCTCAGAAGATGGACTCCATTATCACACGGTCGTCATCATCTTCATCGTCATCATCTCAGGCTGCAGAAGCTTGCTCGGACGCCCTCTTCTCCTCCTCCACCACCTCGTCACCATTCACAAGCATATACTCCAGGGACAGGAGTCGAAGGAACAAGACAGGTGAGAAACTGCTGACTGCTGTTCTTCCTCACTGCTGTCATGCTGAAGGTTAAAAGTATTGGAGCTGGACAGTGAAAGGCCAGTATGTTCATATCTTAATGAAGTTGTGATAATGAAGAATTTAATTGGTAGTGATGTCTCTCTACAGGTGTCCTGGTGTCTATGACTAACACATGTATACGCTACAGCAAGCGAGCCCTGGCCCCCATAGTGTCCTTAGTCAGCCTGCTCTTCAACAGTGTGCTCTGGCTTGGCTCGAGGGCCAAGAGCTCTCCAGGAAAAGGTATACAAGAGTCGGCCATTCTTTTCATCCATTACCCATCATTATCTATTTTTCCTCTTCTGTCTTTTGCTATGGTAATTTTTCCTGAGTCGCTCGGCTCAAAGTGAGAGTTTCAGTGATCTTGAGGAAAAACTGACTTCAGGCAGATCATTTGAAATCACCACTTCCTGTTGGTTTCTGCCTGAGCAGGCTTCTCCTCAGAACGCTTAATGTTTCTGGCTGAGTCATGGTGTCTTTCTATTTCACATGAAACTTTATTACCTTTCCTCTTAGCGGGCTTTCCAAAGTTTCCTGTTGTTTTTCTCTCAGGTGTCTTAAGGGGATTTTTCTATTATTCACTTTCCCCTCATCCTCTCAACCTTATTGTATTATTTATATTTGCCTCGACTGTGCGTTTTCACTAACAGTGATTGTGCGGGCCTGGGTGTGTCACCAGGTGTCCTTGCTTCGTTTTCGGACTTGATGAGACGAGCAGTGTCCTCCAGTATGTCCCAACTTTGGCTGTTTAAGGAGACCACTCTCCACAGGGTGATGGGCAGCAGGGCTAACGGCTATGAAGGACAAGGTACCAGCTGTTACTACAAAGGGCAGAGGTTAAGGGTCACAGCTCCTGACCTCTTCTGCTGCTCTTCTATTAATAAACTTTCTTGTCGCCATTTTTCTCCCCTCTAAGCCCTTATTTTTCTTGTTTAAGGAGAAAGAAGCCTCATGTTAAGATAAATATGTAGTTGAAGGATCTCTTTACCTTCTCTCTCCATCCAGCCTTCACTTTCACACAGCTGCTTTCTATTTCTGAAGAAGGAAGTATACTAGAAACAAAATTGTACACACCCCAAAACACCATTGCCTAATTTTGGACAAAGCTATCACATGACGAGTAGCCTTTTTTTAACGTCTGACCGTAAGTTCACATGAAATGAAGAATCGAGCTGAACTCAAAAGACTTCCTGACTCCTCTCTTATTGGTAACTCTGCACACCACATCTGAGGAGCTTAAAAATTGCAGTCAGTAAACAAAATTCGAGTTTATCAGCAGTTTCAATTTGTACATTGTCAGTTTTATTTCTAGTATACCACTGGTTCTTTTCACAGCTGCAGAAGAAGAAAATGGGTTTCACCACATTTCTTTATTCTTGTTTCTAGCAGTCATCACCTTGTATCTCCTTATCTGTTTTCATGCAGCTCTATTCTCGTTTCCTACACTAGGGCCTAGAGCTCCTCTGCCGTCTCATTGGTGACATGTGCATTTACGCATCTTCATCATCCATCATTCATTTGTCATTTTCTCACGCAGCGCAGTTTTTGTTATGTAAATAAACGTGTTGTGCGTGTGTTGCAGCTCACTCAAGTTTCTGTGGAAGCATGAATGTGAAGGGCCTGGTGACTGAAGATGCTTCACATCTTAATCTCAATGGTTCCCTGTGTAAGCAGACACGCACACAACACAAACACAACACACACACACACACACACACACACACACACGTTCTCCCTAAACTCATTTTCCTGCATGATTGACAATCAAGTTAATTATATGCGTGACCTGTGTTAGCAGAGGTTGTGTGAACTGCTTAAAACCATTCAGCAGCCTGTTGACAGATGTGATCTGCAGATGCTTCTGTTTCAGTCAAGTTAGTCCTTCAAACCCATTTCAAGGAACCGGTTTAGCGATGATCACTCCAGACATAAATAAAAAGTTTAAGTTACCGAGCTGCTTGTTTTTAGTCTTATTTTAGTTTTTATTTTGCAAAAACGGTATAAAAACAGATGACAGAGGATAAACAGATATGAGGTCAAAGAGTGGATGTTTCAATAAATTAAGGGATAAATAAAATAAATCCAAAAACACATGAAACTAAAATAAATAAAACATGAAAAAGAAAACTAAGATGTCCAGAATAGAAGTAAGGCTAACATTGGGTTTGAATGGTGAAGACCACTTTTTCTGCACAACACTTGTAAAATTACTCACTAAAATAAACAATGTTACAGTGAAGTGAAAGTTACATAAAAGCATTTTTCATTCACGAGATTCAACAAGGCGTGTTTTCATACATTTAGTTGTGCATGTCTTCACACACAGTATATTGTATTTTTTTTATTATATACATATGATTTAGTGTTGCTGATTAATTTTATATTTTAATTTCTTTCCTATTTGCTGAATGTTATTACTGTTTAAGTTTTTATGTGTGTAAGCCATCGTAATGTCATTCATTTACCCATCATTTTGTTTCTGTGTTTTCTGTTTGCCTGCTGTCCATCATTTCGGCATACAAAGGCGATGACTGTAAAGGGAAGCAGCATTCTGAGACAAACACCGTCCTCCTCACACAGTCCTCCAGGCCTCAGCGCCTGGTGGGGGCACTGTGGAGCGTCCTAGCTTACACAGGTTAACCAGCATGCCACTTTTGTTGATGACAGCCTGTAAATATACTGTTACAGGGATATGTTTAGTACTCCTATGTTTATAACTCAACCACTCGGGCTGTAGTTAATCATTTAAAATGTCTTTCCCCTTGTCCTCCCAGGTTACTGCCTCCTCCAGCCAGGTTACTGTGCGGCGAGAGCAGGCAAAGCGTTGGTAACAGGGGCTGGGACAGTGGTGCAGAGACTGCTCTCGTTGTTGTGGATGCTTGTAGCAGCTCCAGGTTGGTGGCCTTTTTTTTTACCTTCTTAGAAATATGTTTGTCTGTTCTGCATCTTTCTTGGGCAACATGGTCTGATCGTGTTCTCATTCTCTGTCTATATGTGTTTATTTTTATTTATACTTATTCAATCTGCCCAGTCAAGGCAGGCAGGGGGGTTCTGTTGTTTCTTGCAACAGGATGGTACCAGCTGGTGTGTCTCATGTCTCTGCTCAACGTCTTCTTTCTGACACGGTAAGAACACTTCCCCTGTTCTCTTTCTGAACCTTCAGGTTTTGCAACATACAGATTTTACATTTTTTTTACAATTACTTTTGATATATTTTTTATTAGACTTACAGTCACAGAAACACAACTCCAAATGAATGCTAATGTTGTTCTGTAAGTCCTGGATGTTTAAAGAAGCAACAGTCTACTAACAAAATCACTATTGGAACTGCATACGGTGGTATTTTGTCATTGTTGTTGTTTCCGCTGCCCCCAAGTGGGTGCATAAGTCCGTTATTTCTGGTCCAAAACGGATGATTTTCTGCATCATTAAGATTTAATTTTTGCTTTGACAAGGTGAATCTGCTGGTAGTTTATTCTCATTCGAATATGTAATTAATCTAAAGCTATATATTTAAAAAGTTTTACACTCTTTGTTCATTTATACCTCTAGTAAAGACACATTTTTAGAGCTGACAGCAGTCATGATGGAATGATTTACCTTGTGTCTTGAAGTACTGCATATTGATTTAGGAACAGTGCCTGTTTTTCCTTTGAGGAGTTTTGACAGTTGTGTTTTTATCTGACGGGTGTGTGACTCTGCGTTTCAGATGCCTTCCCAAACTCTGGAGGCTCCTGCTGCTCCTTCTGCCCTTTTTGCTCCTCCTCGGTGAGTTTGAGTGCTCTCACAGGTGTAACCCATTTAGTGAGCACATACATAGAAAAATCTGTCTGTAGTGAAGCAGTAGATGTCCTAATCAGCACGCATCCCCAGAGAATGATGCATATCCAGTACCAGATTCAGGTCAACCTCTGTGGGCTTCTAGAGAGTTACTCCACTCTGTGGTTCAGCGCTGATCACACATATTTACACAGCAGCAAAACACAAACACATTCATGCATTTATTCTTTGGCTATTCTTTGAACTGTTCCATAATTTACATACCTGTAGTGTTGTTATTACTGTTATTATTGCAGTTACAGTGTAGGATATTTAGATTGAAGGAAACATATTGCTTTACATTAAATGTTAATGTTCTGGATATCTTGTGTGGTACACATTTACCCACAATTCAGCCTGTTTTTTATCTGTGATTTTGAGTAAAAATTTAAGTACATTTCTAAAGAGGCTGAACAAACTTTATCCATACATTGGAGTTTGTTATGAGTGACCAACTGGCAGGTGAGCGCAGTTTAACCGTAGCTTTCTTTCTTTCGTCTGTATGCAGCTTTATGGTGGTGGGGTCCGTCCACTGCTGCCCTGCTTGCCTACCTTCCAGCATTGAACCTAACCGAGTGGCGTCCTGCGTCTCCCTTCACCCTCCTGTCTAACTTGGTGCCAGCTTCTGCTCCAGTTCCTGCGTCTGTCCCCGTCGCTCCGCCAGAAACTCCGGTGGAGCAAACCCCAGCCACCCCAGTGTCACAGGCACCAGTAAGACACAGCGATAAAACAATGCATCATTACATGACGCATGTTGCAGTTCTAGTATTTTACGACTTAAGACATTTTGTAATGTTTACTACTTCGTTCTTCAGTCGGTGCTTCCCCCTGTGGTGGTCTCTGGTGTGGACTTAGAAAGACTGGAACGAGTGGAGCGACAGCTAGCCTTGCTCTGGGAACAAGTCCAGCAGGGTGACCGAAAGCAGGAGCAGCGACACGGAGACATTTTGGGTCTCTACAGTACCCTGAAGGAGCATCTCCACACTCAGACCGACAGGGAGAGCCTGGGACTGTGGGTGTCCTCCCTGCTGGAGCAGAGACTGGGCGTTTTGCGGGGAGAGCTAGAGCAGGAGAACGCACACAGAGCACAGGTAGGGAGGAGAGGATAACTGACTTACAAAAGTTATGTTTTGATAAAAAAGCTGACCTGTATCTCACTTTTTTTCTCTTTATCTCTGCTCCATACAGAGTGCAGAGCAGCAGAAACAGCACCAAGAGAGTCAGGCAACACGGCTGGCTGATTTAGAATTGCTGCTGAGCACTCTGGCTGCCAAAACTGAGGTATGTACAGCAGATTCACGATGTGTCCACTGAGGAAACACATGAGGAAATGTGGCAAGACAGCTTTGTCTTACATTTTTTATTAGTTATATTAATATTTGCTATTCTAAATGTCTAATTGTCACTTACTTATAAAAATACATTAAAACAGTCAAAATTATAAATAAAAGCAAAACTGAGTAGATAAATCATAAAAGCAAGCAAGCACGGGAGTATAATACATAAGAAAGTACAGAATGTAAGAGTAGAGGTCAAATGGTAAACATTAACAAGGGACACACAACACAGGCAGTCAAACACAGCCTGGAGTCTAATTATTAACTGACAAAAAAACCTTGTATAGTTTATAATGGAAGAAAGGAAGTGCTGCATGGGCTCTGGTGGCTGATCAATCAAAACAAGAACAGAGGTATGAAGGCAGATCTGGTTGTTTTTGACCGTATTTGCCTGATAACAGTGAGAATCGTCAACTGGTTACACCACGTTTCTATCTTCAGTCTGACTTTACCTACTCTAACTATTCTCCTTGGGGGAAGGGGAAACGATTTTTCCTAACCAATCACTAGAGACTTATGTATCCGCCTGACTCTAAATTAATTTAAAGTCGACAATGATGAGCAGACATGCTAACACACTGGTTTTGCCAGGGTTAAAAGCTGAGCAAAGTAAAAACAGACAACCTACTTCTAAATGATCTATAACAGCCCTGATAACAGCTTCTATCTTGTATAAAGCGGACATTCTCATAGCGCTTATTGGATAATTACATTATCCAGTGAGCGGCGCTGTCCGCTGTTTCGTGTCATGATGCCAGATCATTCAACTAGGTGGAGTGGACGGATTCAAAGGTCTGGACAGGCAAAGTCTGTATACTAAGAAACAGTGGTGCTCTGTCAAATATCTGATCTTGGGAAGATCGCATTGTTACCATTTATATGGTTTTTCAGAAATGTTAAAGAGAAAGTTTGTATTTTCTGTGCTATCACCAGAAATCCTTATACATGATCTGTGTTGTAGGAGGTGCAACAGAAGCAACAGCATTATGAGCACGAGAAGCAGGAAAAAGAGAAGGAGGTTGTCACCTCAGCGGCAGACACAGTTCCTGTCAGGTACGAAAACCAGGATATCGACCTCAAATCCACATGTTATCTTTCTTTTTTTTTCTATGTGCCATTGACATTTGGTGAGCATGTTGTTTAAGATTCTGGCAGCTCACATGTAGACTTTGTCTTGCACTCAGTGTGGGTGTGAAGCAGGAGGACCATGATGCTCTGCTAGTGGAGGTGCAGAGACTTGAGGCGGAGCTGGGCAGAATCAGACAGGATCTGCAGGGTGTTGTGGGATGCAAGGGCAAGTGTGAGCAGCTGGAAACACTGCAGGAGACAGTGAGTAACACAAATATTCACTTCTATGCTTTTACTGTGATGTCAATTATTAAGATTTTAAGACACCCGGTTTCCATTACATTTCTTTATTCATTAGATTTCTGTGTATGCCTTTTCTAGATATCAGCACAGGTGTCGTCCCAGGTCCGTAAGGAGTTGCAGGCTCTGTTCTTCGGCAGTGGTGGGTCAGGAGAGGCGCAGGGAGAGGTGCCCGAGTCGCTGATCCACTGGCTGTCCCAGCGCTATGTGAGCACACCCGACCTGCAGGCGTTGCTGGCCTCACTGGAGATGAGCATCCTGAGAAATGTGTCCATGCAGATGGAGCTTAACCGGGCCCAAACCCTGGGTGAGGTAGAGTCCCAAGCCAAGACCATCGTTCAGACAGTAACCGGGACTGTCCAGCACTCTGTTGCTGCTGAGGGACTGACAGAAGAGGTAATGAACGCACACTGTCAGCATCATCACTGTTGACTTCATCTTAATCACATAATCTAAGCTGAGCTCTTGAAAGTGTTGGTTTGCCATGTGCCTGTGGTTCTTCTTTAACCTGAACTATTGTGTTGTGGTCTCTTCCCCCAGCAAGTGAAGCTGATTGTCCAAAACGCTTTAAGGCTCTACTCCCAGGATCGAACAGGCCAGGTGGACTACGCCCTGGAGTCTGGAGGTAAGAAAGAAGCCTCCCATTGACGCAGTACCTGTCCATCCTGTACTCTAATGTATGTATGTTTCTTACATAATGAGAGTGCAGGCATTAGCCAGGCTCGAGGACAACAGGGTATTAATTTCAAAAGCTCAGACTCTATTGTCATGTGTGTTACTGAGCAGTGTGTTGACCTACATGGGAGCGTCACTTCACAGAAGGCGTTGGGCATTGAGACATTCTGGTAGCCTAGTAGTTGAGCCATTCCCCATATAATCGCAACCACCCTGGTTTGATTTGGGCTGGGGACCTTAAGGCAAAGTGTGTGCTTTCCTAAACAAACAGACATTTGGATGCTAGGAAAGGAGCTATTGAGATGGACCAAATGATGAGGAAACATCAGCAAACATGAGGAATATTTCACAACACTCTCTGCACAAGTATCTTACGTTGAGGAGTACAAAGACAAAGAGCAGACTTTTTTGCCTGAGTCTCTCTCCTTATAAGTGAAGCCAACAGTCGAAGGCCATAATGCACTAGAACTGTGTGTCTATGTAAGGACATGGTGTCCAACTAAACTGTTGACAGATGGCTTTAAGGATGAAAATGTTGAATTCAACAAATGTAAACTCAAACCAAAAACATCTCTCACAAAATAAAATCCCAAAGTTGTCCTACAGCTGCCTTGAAAAGTGAAACTGTACACCAAGCCCCGTGCAGTATGATTCACCCTCAATCCCAACATTTTATACTCTACAATCATTTTAAAGTATATCAGTAGTTATCTGATATTAAATGCAACCTTGATGTTATTCATGCCCATGGAAATTAAGTAAAAAGCGTAATTACTGTCTCTGTGTGTTTTCAGGGGGAAGCATCCTTAGCACTCGCTGCTCTGAGACATACGAGACCAAGACGGCCCTCATGAGTCTGTTTGGCCTGCCACTCTGGTACTTCTCCCAGTCGCCACGTGTTGTAATCCAGGTGAGCCTCACCATGAGAGCAATGTCTATTTTACTCATTATGTGAAGTTAGTTAGTTAAAAGATAGGTTCACAATTTTTGTTTAAGTCTGTCTTAAAACAATTGTGAGGTGTCCATATGAATATTGAAATAGCTTTTTTTCTTGCTATAATCTTTACTCCTGTTCATACTGGGGACCTTCTTACTACACTTTCTATATAAGTGATGGGGGACAAAAGGTATTATGAGACTTGGGTTAGACAAACCAAGTGGAAGTCCAAAGTCTTTTTAGTACAATATTCCCTTTTCATGTCCCTCCACCTCAGCTCAGCAGGGAGACGCACAAAAAAGATTAACTTTGGAAGACATCCACTTGATTTGTCTAACTCACTGTCTGCTGACTACTGCTGCTAAAACCTCATACAGAGATTAACTTTAGAATATATTTTCACACAGAACGTTATTTTAATGACCAGTATGAACAGCAGGAATGATTACAGCATGCAAAACCTGTTAAATGTTCATAAGCACCTGACTATTGTTTTAAGTAAACTTGCGAACCTATCCTTTAAGCTTACTATAATAAGGGTTAAGATCTATGGGGCAATTCTTATTTGGCTGATTAACTAGAGAATTCATTCAACTATTATTTAATGATTAGTGGAAACACTCAGTCACAAGTCTGCTGTTATGAAACTTATTTTGGCATGTCTCCCCTCCTCAGCCTGATGTGTACCCAGGTAACTGCTGGGCATTCAAAGGCTCTCAGGGCTACTTGGTGATCCGGTTGTCCCTGAGGATCCTGCCCACGTCCTTCTGCGTGGAGCACATCCCCAAGGCCCTGTCCCCAACTGGAAACATCACCAGCGCCCCACAGAACTTCACTGTTTTTGTAAGAAACATACTAACATATGAAGCCTTACAATTGGAAGCATGTGAAGCAGTGAAAGCATGAGAGATGAATGTCTATTTTCCCTTGGGTTTGTTTGTGTGCAGGGTCTAGATGATGAGTACCAGGAAGAAGGGAAGTTGCTGGGGAACTACGTATACCAGGAAGATGGGGAGTCACTGCAAACCTTTCCTGTTATGGTAACTTAAGACGCACTTCCCAAAATGTTAGAAATAAAAATCAGTTCATTGTCTGCCAGTGTGTTCTGAACATTCCCCCTCTTCTCTTTCAGGAGCAGAATGACAAGACCTTCCAGATCATTGAGGTGCGGGTGCTGTCTAACTGGGGTCATCCAGAATACACCTGCATGTACCGCTTCAGAGTCCACGGACTCCCTCGGCCTCAGTGAACCAACCACTACCACATGCTCAAATACAACATATCACTTGTACATAGCTATCGCCAACCTAAAAACGGAGGGGACTCAGCAGTACTTAGTGGACGTTTTTGTATGAAAGACACAAAGAACAGAGAAGTTGTGGATTGTTAAAGCAATGTGCCCGGGACTGAATCATGAACATGTGTTTTGTAATATTGAAAGAGTCAGAGGAACGTTTGTATGGGGACTTAATGATCGCAGAAGAGGAATAGAACCACGGAAGAAGCTAAAACTCCCAGTCCTCTTTTTGTAAAAAGGTCTCTTGCACTGAATCAGCCCGTGAGGGGCCGCAGGCTCCACTGAGCGGATAAATCCACCCAACTCTTGGCACCTTCCACTTCTGCAGGGAGGTGGACGCTTGAAATGGGGGATTACAGACTCATCTCTTCCATTTCCTCTTACACCAATTTGTCTGATTTGGTTTCTGTTCTTAATCATCTGTATTTATCTTTGATTTCCTGTTAGTCTCATATTTTCAGGATCAAAGCCACTGTACCTTTTGCCTGCGATGCTGTCCAGGCATGTCACTCCCTTTTGTTGCTGTCACATCTCTGCAATGACTTTAACTGGGCAGCCTGCAGGACTGGACCACACTCACACGAAAGGTTCACTACATTCAAGGCTTGGCATCATTTTTCCACACAGCATTACTAAGATTTTCTTTTTTGGAACTGAACATGCTGGACAGGCTTTGAATGTTTTCTTATGTGGAGGCTTAACGCAAGTCATTCTTTAACTTCACAGCAACACTATATAGTATGAATATTAGGAGGCTCTTCACTGTGTACATTAGACAACACGTGTGTGGTTATGGATGGACTCCAGGATTGATTCTAGCATGTGACTCTTCCCGAACCATACCCTTAACTTTTACATGCACCATAGATTTTACATGAGTGTGTCCTCTCTGAAGGTTTGAGTCTGTGCCTGGATCTCAAATTACCAATCAATGTTGAACGCTAAATAATATAACTACACCTGTAGACAAGAGTGTGATTTTTTTCCTTTCTGTTTTTATCAAGAGGGGGACTCTGTGTCTCCCTCTAGCTCAGTAATAAACGTCCTCCTCACATGGGCTCCCTCTATTCTGAAACCCTAAAGGAATGTAATCTGTATATTTCATTGTTGAAAGTTGGTCCTTTATAAAATCTGCTTTTATCAGTGTTGCTTTATAAAAAAAATCATCTTGTTATTATTGTATTACTACCATTATTTCTACATTGTGGTGTTTTTTTGTTTTGGTTTGATAATGTCAGGATGCACTGCAACAACTTGTTAAGAGAAATGTTTGTGGCACAGGTCTTCACAGTTTGTTTTAAAATGGGTGTGTGTGTAGTCATCAACTTTGATTGCAAATATGGGTAAGTCTAAAATGCTATGTATAGAAAAAATGTTTTGTTCACTATCTTATTTATTAACAAGTCAGTTAGTGACGGCAATATATGAGTTACTGCAATGTATATTTTGTCAAAAGCTGTTCAGTGCATTTTGGAACCATCTTGGGACTTTTTTTTAAAGATAAATGGCTATTTTTGTTCAGTCATGAGATGACTTAACTGCTTTGGAATATATTCCAATAAAGACTTTAATTTTGAAGAACTTCTGTGAATAACGTGATCATGGTTTAAGATTATTATGCTCTTTTCAACAGCTTAATCCTCAGCTCTTTTCATATTGGTAGAGAAAAATGTGTGCTACAATATTGCTGTTTTGGTTGATCCTTAACATTTATTTGGAGCTAACAATAATGGATCTGACATATAGGACTGACTTTTTCCTGGTAAAAGAGCAAAGTAATACATCATGAATGCTATTACTATACATCTTGACTAAAAGAAACAAAAGTACAAGATGGCAAGCGGTTTGAAACAAACCACACACAAAAAATACAAAAATCTTAGAAATACCATTAATTTTATTTTTACGTTCAAACAAACCACATACCTTAATTTTAAGATTATGGTGTTTGGTAAAATAATATAAGGGGTTGTTACAGGCATTGATATCTACAATCGGGAGTCATGGTTAAGCAGTTAGATTTAGAATTTACTGAGAGAATAATATTTACAAGTTATCTTATTGAGTAAACAAAAATGAGCCGCAATTAAGAGGTGCAAATGTGGCCTACAAAGTAGGAATTGAGTGGTAGGCTAAAGGCTACTGTCTCAAAAATAATTGTGCTTTCCCCCAAAATATAGTCAAATGTAAAATCATATTTTTTTTATCTTTGTTAGAGTTAACGTTTAGTTCCTGAAGCCTTTAGCCATTTTAGCCTCTCCAGTTTTCCACTTTGTGTTGAAAGATGAAAAACACATTATTAATAGCAAGTTATCTGCTGCCTTCTAGCGGGACAGAGACGTGCTGCAGTCATTTATTCCTACACAGATTTTTACAATAGTTCAGAGGACATAAACACGACCTTGTTTATTTATTTCCTAAACTAGACAACCTAGGATGCGGCACACATCGACACAAGCAGGAGCAGTAGGCTATTTATGGAAAATCATTCAGCTCAGCAAACTGTTCTTTTGTTTGGGATGAATTACACTGTTGTCTGTTTTAGCGCACATTGTGCTACTAGTACCGTTATCAGAATGTGTTACACCACGGTTATAAGAAGTGTCCGTATACCTTAAGTATTGAAGCACTAGGCTATCAAGTTCCCTAGAGCCGGACTCAGTTTGTACATATATTTACGGTGAGCTGCCGTGTTGCGTTCGGGACACTTTTTAGAAAATCTTTTTTTTGTACTCCTAACTTGTGTTTACACCGGAAGTCAGAGGCATGACTACTTCCCTGGCACCCAGCGAGTCCCTGGCAACCATTACACAATAATGGCGAACATAAGCAGTGCCAAAAAATCCCTTTGGCAACAAGTGTGTGAAGGTAAGATAATAATGTTCTGTTTGTTTAAGCTTTTGTGAAAAATAAAAGCTGTGTTTATGTTTTGTTTAATGTGTTGTTTTTTTCAGAGTATGAGGCAGAGCAGCCAAGTCCTCCCAGTGCTGTGTGGACAGATATCAGCTCAGTTAGCACCCAGCTCTCCCAGTATAGCACAAGTACACCTTCCCCGGTCTTATATGGACTCACCACAGCCAAGGTCAGTTTATCATTCAGCTCATTCATCCCTGTGTCTGATTAGTTTGGATTCTGTCCTCAGAAATTATTTGTCATTGGTTTCATTAGGAGTTTGTGGAGGATGAACCTCTGAGAGACTTTGACCCTCTTCTTAGCCACCCTGCTCTTGCTGGCTACTCTGTGTTAGGAAAACCTCATCTTTCAAGCCAGAAGTGCCTGTCAACAGCTGAAACTACTTTGCCACCACAGCTGCGTGAACGTAAGACGGATGCAAATATCTCTGCTATCCTCGTCCATATACATATTGTACAAATTTATGTTTGTGTGTTTGTGTCAGCACGCATTACACGTTTTTTGGAGAGGAGAGTGTTTCCAGTGTTGCTGCCTGGACTGGAGGCTTTGCTAAAAGAAGCCCGGAAACACGGCTGTTTCGAGGTCTGAACTTTCTTATAAACATTTGACTAACAAACTACAGGCGGCCCATATTGTTAAAATGACAACAGATTGATTTAAAACCTGTGAAATCAAAGGAAATTATGTGTTTGGTTGAAATATTGCAACATTTTTACTTTACATTTATTTCACAGCAGTAGTTTATGACTTTCTCTCATTTTTTTCTCATGTAGTGAGTAAAAGTAATGCTGAATACTTGTTATTCTGGATGATGCATGGCATTGATTGCTTTCATTTGTGTTGTAGAGGAAAATAACAGCATTTAACCCGTGCGACTTCCTAACTGAGTGGCTCTACAAGTAAGAGCCCTCCTTCCCTCCCACACACACACACACACACATACAACTTTCTCTTCATTGTTCACTTCATCTCACCCTGTCAGTTCTCTGTAATGTAATATGTTGAGAGCTGTGTGTGAAAAATATTGCGTGTAACATATTTACTGCCTTTTTCTTCAGCCGCAACCCCCGCAGGCAAGGACAGATCCCAGTAAACTTCCATGATATCCCCTTTGTCAAGGACTGGCTTAGCATGCAGTGAGTGTCACCTGTCACACAAAGACGTACACACTACAGCTGCTACCTGCAAATTCAGTGATTGTCAAGAAATGAAACTCCTGTTTTATTTGAAATTTGTCTTTGGCCTTTCGGAGTTTCATGGTCACCAGGTTCCTGTCAACTCCAGCGTCTCACACGTAAAACACTCCTTAATATCAAGGAAAATAACACACACAAACATTCATATTCACCAATACATGCTGCGTTTGGTGTTATGCAGATGAGACAATACACCATCCTGTTTTGTCTCTTGTCACACTTTTTCCTCTCTTTCTTTCTCCCCTTGTCTTCAGTCCCAGGCCTCCCATCCCTCTGTTTCTGCTGCTGAGCGAGGATCAGGCTGCTCTGCTCATCCAGGCTTTCTGGAGGGGATACAAGGTACTCTGGACATGACTGCAGGCTTTCTCTTCACAAGTATATTAAAGGACTAGAATGTAGACAAGAAAATTAATCACTGGGACCCAACACAGGTCTGAAAACCCACAGAAAATATGAAAAATAAACTTATAAAGTCAGGGACATTTCAAATTAAAAGCCTGGAAGAAAATGCAAAACTGCTGCTTAACCCTGGATGCATATTACATGACAATAGCTCATCACTTGACATATTTACACATAACTTTAGCTATGTCTGGCTGGGCTAGTTAGGCTGGCCAACTCTAAATATCACCTCCCACACTTTTCAGATTGATTTAAGATGCTAAAGTGTGACTGAACTATGCAATAACCCCCCACACTATTAAATTAAATTAATTTTTATTTATATAATAGCACCAATTCATAACAGAACTAGTGAGCCTGTCTGCATGTCTGTGTCAGTCTGTTAGAATATAATAGGCACACTGCTGCTTGTACACTGGCCAGTGACAGTGCGATCTTGTTGTATAATCCCATTGCTCTGAAAAGCCCCTCTTCCACAGGGACTGCAATATCATTCAGCTGCTTGATTATGTCATCAGTGATGCTGGGATTTAATTTCTTCCTGTTTGGGCATTGTGATCTGAAGTGTTCTGTACTGTGACATAAATAGACATAAATAGACATAAACAGACGCTACCAGAGGCAAACAGCAGCGATTTCTCCCCACTCACACACAAATAAACCTCTCGTATGATGTAGGGATGTGAGCAGGGCTCGTGTTTTTGTTTGTCTCACCAGAAGCTCATATTTTTTGTTTCAATTCCCTCATGCTTGTGGATGGATTCAGCTTAATTCTTGCCACACAGACCATTGAGAAGAAAAGATGCCAGCTGTGCTGTCATGTACAATTACATTCTGTTTGAGTGATCTGAAGATATGTTTTTTTATGTAGTTTAATTTGTGGGTGCAAGCATGAAACTGAATGTGTGTGTGTGTGTGCATGCATACAGGTTTGGAGTACTTGTACACCAGCAGGGGGCAACACTTCCTCTCTTTTTTCCAACAAAAAAACCTAACAGGCCTCCGCTCACATGAGGTGGCAGCATTGAGCCAGCTGCCCCTCACTCGTCACTGAACTAAGAGAGGTCTAGTAGGGCCACTGATAGCACTGCAGCCCAGCACCCCAAGGGATTTAGAGGAAGGGAGACAAAGAGTCAGTAGTGAGAGGATGGGAGGATATATCTGACAATTTTAGGAACATTTTCAGATGGACTGATGATGGCAAAAGGGAGGAAAGAGGCACGATGATGTTGCAGAGTGGAAGGGGGTAAGACGGACTGAAATGCAGTCATGGCAGCGTCGGTAGGGGTCGGAATAGGGAAAGAGATGTAGGCTGGAGCATCTGGGAAGCACAGGGAGCCTGGGAACGTAGCATAATCAGGTTCTGAAGTTGAGGGTCGGCCTTTTAGGATCATGACTTATTCAAGATGCACAGGGTGGATATATTTTTGGCCAAAGGCACAAAGACAAAGTCCTGACAGGTGATTTTGTGTGTCACGTGTGATGTTACGTTGGCTGGAGGAAAACAGCAGTTAACAGCTCAGTGGGCAGCAGAGACGAGGACATCAGCACGAACAGAGTCAGCTGTGAAGCACCAATGCACTGTAAACTTCATTAGTTTATATGCGTGTTTGTGTAACATCATTTTGGTCTGACTTATGCAACCTTCTGGGGCACATTGCAGACAAGTTGATTGGGGACAGCTTGTCCAATTGGAGACAAAAGCCATGTCCTCAATTGGGGAAAAAGCTGATTTTGAATGTCTATGTAATGTCCCTAAAAGTAACATAAGTAAACGTGTGTGTCTGCTGGCGTGAGGATGTGTATGCTTTGTATGTGTTTTTCAAATAGCACGTGATAATTGTCTCCCATTATGAATGTATGTCTGACAAAACTCACATATCAAGACATCTTGGTTCCCAGATTTGATATCTAAGTGAGCATTAACAGGCTCTACTACACCATGATCTGCTCTACTGTGAGTTGTTTGACCACTTAGAGAATATATTTGAAGATTTATAACAGTATAAGAGTATAATAGGATAATGGGATTTTGCTGTAGAAAAAACATTGCATTGAATCAATGTTTTTTGTGTTTTTCTACATCAAAATATGAATGAATATGAATGAGTTTTCTGCGTCGGTTTTCAATAGTTCACTAACAATTGTAACATATAGATATCCTGATGTAAATTTGATCCAAAGTACAATCCTCTACCTTTATCAATATACCCTGTTCTCTTCACCCCCATCCTCTCCCTCCACACGCCCTCTTTCCCCTCACTCTTACACCCTCTGCTGTTATATAATCTGCCTGACGCAGCGCTAACTGCAGAGGGTGTGTGTGTGTGTGTGTTTGTAAGAAAGACAGACAGACGGAGCACCAGGAAGCAGGGAAGGAGGGTCTTTTTGTAGATTGGAGTTTTATCCCTCCATTATTAATACGTTTCATAATACTGAGAACTGAAGAAGAGCAGCAATAGAGATACACACAGAGACACACACACTGACACTCACTAACTCACATCTGTATGACCCGGACAATGCGAGTGTTTCTTGTTTCCCTCATGTGCAACTATAAAGAGCTGATGGGTCTAAACATATTACATAATCGTCTTTAAACTGTGTGCCTTAGCCCTAGCTCTAATCCATTCATCCATGCCTGCTACTGTAATGCACACATATGTACAAACACACTCCACGGATCACTTAAGACTTCTCAGGCGCTCTCAGGTCCAGTCAGCTGAGTTGGAGTAATGGCTGTTGTGTAATAAATAGGCATTACAATTAGGCTGTCGATATTGTGGGTTTGTGGTCAAGTAGAGAAGCAGGCTTTTTATCATAATCATTTCCACTGGCTTTGTTTGCAGATTTATTAAGCGTACACACACTGTTGTTGGCCTTTTCCCCTGGCCAAACCTCAGCACTGTCTTGCTGTCACTGTCAGTTAAACTTGCAGAAAACCTGGTGTAGGTCTTCTCACCTGCACGTGGATGCTTTTTTTCTGTAACAATGTAATGCACAAAAAATTATGAGCCATTTTTATAATCATATGGTAAGTATTTTTGAATGAAAATATTGATACAGTCCCGACATGTCTTCTTGGACTAGCAGGCCCAGTTATTGTCTAAAAGTGGGACACTGCAAGTACCAAGTGTATTCCTCTTGACGAAAACTAATAGAGTTGTTTGAAAGAATCTCACACACACAAAGCTGTATAGTCAACAGCAGAACTAGGTCTGCCATTCCAGCTGAATGATCCCAGGACAGAGATAGATAAATAGTTTGAACTGATTGTTAAGTTGGTGACGGGCCACATGCAGTGACACTCATGCAGAAAATATGTCAGAGGCACTTAGGACATCCAGTAGCCAGTGGCTGTGCTTCATCATCACTTCCCCCTCCTGCAGGAGGGCCATAGAGACACGCTGTCTGGACTGGTCATAGCATGAATCAGGTACTCCCGTGATATCCACTATCATCTGTGATATAGAGAGTATTTCAGATCTAATTTAGTGTTCTTACAGAGGGCAATAGGGACACATTGCTGCCACTCACTGTGCCCGAGTCTACAAAGGCATGAATCAGATCACAGGTTGCTCAGCTGGTTAAGCCCTTATTGAAACATCGTTCAACAAAAACATGATGGATCGGTGGGTGGATAGAGTGCGAAGCGTAGAAAGAGCAGGCTGTGTCTTTATGCAGCCTGTCAGTGTGGCTGGTGATGTGACTGCAGCCAGTTCCTCCAAACAGAAGCCATTGTGCTGCTGCAGAGTGTGAGAATGGGAGAGGAGCTCAGTCTCACAGGCAGCTCTGCACAAAAAGCAAGGCTGCTTGAAAGGTTCTGCAGTGGGATTGAAGTGTGTGTGTGTGTGTGTGTGTGTGTGTGTGTGTGTGTGTGTGTGTGTGTGTGTGTGTGTGTGTGTGTGTGTGTGTGTGTGTGTGTGTGTGTGTGTGTGTGAGAGAGAGATCGAGAAAGAGGGCAATTGTGTGCACAGTTTGTGTCACTGTGTGGTTGTGGTTGTACACGTTTTTGTGTGTGAGTGATGGGGGTTCTGCTTGTGCTGCTGATGGTGTCGGCTTTGAGAGATGGAAGAGAATGGAGTCCCTATTTTTAGCATTTTGTCTGATTTTGAATATGTGTGTTTGCTTGTGGCTTTGCTTTTGCTTGTCAAATGAATCGTGTCTAGTGCACGCAGCCTTGTGTACATTGCAATGCCTTACAATTTTTTCTAATCCCAACCTTCATGCATACACACAGAATGAGAGGACGGACTCACGTGCACACTGAAACGGATTCTGTCACGTGTACAGTGACATGGAGGATTATAGCTCCTGACTGTAGATACTGTTTGATTTGATAATGATTCAAATGAGGAAGAATAGATGAAAAGAACACAATTTAGTGTTGTAAACCACGTTCAAATGTACATATGCTCACACACAGCATACAGAGCTACACAAACACAAAGTCCTTGATGTACACAGTCAAAACAATACCCCCACCCCCCACACCGCTAATCAGCTGATGCACACAGACAGGCTTCAAAACGCTCACACACACTCAGCTCAGCTCTTTGTCTCCTGCTATCAAACACAAACTGTCAGCATCCTGCAGAAAGCATGCATATTAAAAAAGCAAAGCCTTCCAAGAACTGAGACTTTGATTTGATCCAAAGGCTGTCAAATACGCCCGTCATTTAGCAGTAGCTGACCGCAACAGAAGAAGAACTGGTGGTATAAGGTTTCTGCAGGACACCAATAGAAAGTGACACAGTGGAAATGGCCGCAGACAAATAGACACACATAAGCGATACCCCCCACCCCTTCTGACCCTCACCCCTCATTTCCATTTCTATGCTCTGCTCCCACCAGCAAGAGAGGCTGCTGTAGCACTGTGAAACCCGGTAAATTAACTATTGGAGCCCGCTAGTCTTACCCATTCCTTAACCCAGTGCCAGGCTTATATAACAGGCCCACTTTCATACCCACTGCTAATAGCAACATTATTGTCGCCATTCAAGCAGGCACTGGGGAGAAAGTTGGGGTCGAATGGAGAGGGAGGAGTAAGAGGAAAACAAGACTGGAGAGAGGAGATGTGGGAGAGAATACAGAGTAGAGAGGAGAGGGAGAAAGAGGGGAGAATAAGGTGTTGAGGAGATAGTGTCTGAGATTGAGTGTGAGGAGAGACAGAAGAAAAGGAAAGAGAGTAAAAGTCGTAGTAGAAGGAGGAGATGAAGAAGGGAAAGGAAACTGAGCTCTTCTGGGATATTTTTTAAAACAGCAAGTCTGTTTAGTAATCAGGAAAGCCAGCAGCCCACACACCACAAACACACACAACAACTACAGGAGTTTCCTCCAAGAACAAAAGCACAACTACGGACTGGCCAAAGAGAAGAATCAGAGACAGCTTATTGACATGAATCTGCAGCAGAATTTGACCCATTTACCCACCTATGTGGACACAGATACACGAACACACTCAGTCATACATGTTAACACGCTTCATTACCATCAGCAGTGACGGCCTTTCTCTGCAGATTACCAGGGACAGACATAGTTTCCACAATACAGCTCAATACAGTAGTGTGCTAAATTATACACACACACTCGCCTATATTCTTAACTATGTTATGCAAAGATGTAGCATTAAAGTTAAAGTGGCAATTTATAACTTACCACATGTAAAAACTATATATATAAAATCAAGGAAAGTAATGTATAGAGAATAAAATACACCACAGTAAAATATGATAAGAGTGAAATGAACAAATAATACACATTAGGGAAAGTAAAACATTAATCAATGCATTTCTAAAAACACGGACTCTGAATAGTGTTTTTAATTATCAGAATCAGAATCATAAATTGTTCGAGGGGAAACTCTTGTGTCACAGTTCCTCACATTTCACATCAAAGTAAAGGAATAGAAATGATAATAGAAAGTTGGCCAATAGAATATCAAGAAATATACTATATAAAAATATAAATAAGAGTGGGGAAAATGTACAGCATTTTAGTATATGGCAGAAGTGTGATTATAAATAGTGGTAATGAATAAATAGTAGTAATAATAATGAGTACAGATAGTGTTTAGGTGGAATGTATTAAAAATCCTTAAAAATTGATGTTACTGATTATAGTGATGGCATGTTTGTTGTTTCATGCACTTCATCGCACACAGTAAGGATGTTGTGAATTTACCACATAATATGAATGACAGAAGTAATGAAGTTCGAGCATGAGCATTATCAACTGGATATGTGACCTGACAACAGCTGTCAGTGGGAGGTTGTGGTGTCTCACAGTAATTTAGCCAAACAGGTCAATAAAACATAATACAATACTTACCTAAAAACATATCACTTTACACAACAGTGGCAGCTTACTGTTATCTTGCAACTTAATTTAAGTTATTGATTATTTCAGCCTATGTGAATGTACGCTGCCTTCACACATTGGTGCTGTTTATGTGTTACAGATCAGGGCACGGCCAGATGTGCAGGAGCTGCGCCAATGGCAGAAAGAACTGAGAGAGAACCGTGACATTGCCAAAACTGTCGAGCAGTTCTGGGTCCTACGAGAGAGCCGGGGTGAGAACACACACTCATACACACACTCCCACGGTATCACTGAATGTCGGGCCTCAAGCTCGCTGGCAACACAATACCATTGATCTTGATTTTTCTCCCGTGGCTAACAACAGCTGCTGATAGGCAGGCAGGATGCCAACGTACGATAACATTCACACAAACCAGCTACACTGCTTAGATGTCAACCCAAACAGTACTATACACATATACATAGCACACACAATTACACACATACTATATAAACTTCAGAGATACCGTATTCATCCCAACGGGGTTTTGAAGTTAAAGCAGAGGGATGTGAATTCTGAGAGCAGAGACACAAAGAGAGAATGAGGGCAGACGCAGAGATAGAGAAAGAGACAGGGGGGAGTGAGGAGGAGAAAGAGAAAGAAGATTGCAAGTGAAGGAGAGAAAGAAAATGTCCGCAGGGCTCATAGTGTATTTGTGTGACCGAGAGACAGAGCAGAGGATGGGGATACGTGTGAAGAAAGAGAAGAGATACAGAGAGAAGAGGGAGGGAGAAGAAGACAGAGAGAACTATAAAATGATAGTGTGTGTGTGTGTGTGTGTGTGTGTGTGTGTGTGTGTGTGTGTGTGTACTGTGTGGACACATGAAGGGCAGAGCAGCTGAGAATGCAGGCCCATATCCAGTGTGACTGACTGGCATTAGAGCTCAAAAAGAGCGACAAAACTTTGTCCTTGAACACACTCGCAGACACACAAACACACAAAAGAGACACACACAAGTGATTCCCAATCTGTACTATGGGGTACTTACTCATATGCAGTTACTAGAGGGTATATACGAAAAGACTATGGCGAAGTTCAGCTCATTTGAAAAAATATATGTGTATTTAAAAAACGAACTGAAACTGATTTTAGCTCAAAGGATGGAAATGTCCCTTGGTCCACCATTTTGGTTCAGACTGAAATATCTCAGCAACTATTGGATGGATCGCACAGACATTCATGTTGCCCAGGGGATGAAGCCTTGTGACTGGTGATCTTTTAACTTTTCCTCTAGCGCCATCATCTGATCAAAATTTTGTGTCTAATATGTTGATTTAAAAAGCATAACATTCCCATCACGAGAAGGTTGTGGGTTGAAACCCCGGTTGCCCCGGCCTTTCTGTGTGGAGTTTGCATGTTCTCCCCGTATCCGCGTGGGTTCTCTCCTGCTCTGGCTTCCTCCCACCATCCAAAGACATGCAGGCTAGGTTAATTGGTGTCTCTAAATTGCCCTTAGGTGTGAGTGTGAGTGGTTGTCTGTCTATGTGTGGCCCTGCAATGGACTGGCGACCTGTCCAGGGTGTACCCCACCTTTCGCCCAATGTCAGCTGGGATAGGCTTCAGCCCCCCGTGACCCAGGATAAGCAGTTAACGATGGATGGAACATTCCCATCAGCCTTAGCTGTACTTTGTGTTTTGTGCTAATTAGCAAATGGCATGCTAGGATGCTAAATTAAAATGAACATGGTCAACATTATACCTGCTAAAATCAACATGTTAGCATTATCATTGTGAGCATTTTGCAATGCCGGCGTTAGCATTTAGCTTAGCATAGCCTCACAGAGCCGCTAGGACGACTGTAGACTCTTTGTGTAATATAATTATTGTTGTTGTTATAATTGTATTGTTATTTTTAATTCCAGGATCAGTTTCTCTTCTTTGGATGTGTTCACACTGTGGATATCATACAAAACTAAATTGGGAACCACTGCACTTTACTACTATGGCAGCATGAATGTACTACAGTATGAGGACACGCTGCTTAAACCTGCAAATACTGATTTTGTTTGGCTACATGGAGACAGCGGAAATAAACTGTGAACACAGCACTGACTGATTATCACCTTTTAAGTTGATATGAAAACCTGTTAGCAAAGTTGCCAATTTATACATCTAGCGGATATGGAGCAACATTAGCACTATGTTAGTTGTGGCTACCTGTTGAATTTAAATCCAATAATTAACTCTCCTTTAGCTCTGGGTAGCTCTTCACCAACTCCCGGGGGGAACATCTAATATCGAGAGTCACAGGTTTTTTTCATTGTGTGGTGCTGAGCATGTAGTGTACAGTGGGTTTTTAGAGCATTTTTGCTGAAAATAGTTGCCTGTTGGTGTTTACAATGACACTATTAGAGCAGTGAGAGTGGACCACAACATCAAAGTTGTGGGACTAAAAACCAAAACTATAAATCTCTGTAGAGCTGCAGAGCAGAGTTGGGTGATCATTCTCTGAGTTTGCCACTATGAGTGACCCCTTTCACATTCAAGTTGTCGTGTGATCCATCCATCCATAAGTATTGATTGTAGCCTCTAAATGAATGTGCATATAGATGACGACAAACATTCACTCACAGCACAGAGTGTCTCTGTCTTTGTCACTCACAAACAATGATGCCATCATAAACACAGATTTCTTCCACACTGACACATTCCACACAACAAAGGCACTCACTGCAGCCATTCTTTCACCGGGGTGCCACAGCCACACTGTGATGCTGCTGCTAACTGCTGCTCCTGCTACTGCACCACTACTGCTGACCTGACATTATAGCATGGAGGGCTGTGTGTGTGTGTGTGTGTGTGTGTGTGTGTGTGTGTGTGTGTGAAAGAGAGTGTACAAGAAAGTCTGCCCAGACTGTCCTGAATGAAAGCCATTTCCAGACCTGTTCAACAGAATCTCAAATGGGGAGAACCAGAAATGTGTGAGCAGACGGGGAGGGAGGGGAAGAGACTGATGCTGAAGTTGCAGTTTGTTTGCTAGTTTTGCCCGTTGTTGTTTTTGGATGTAATGAAGCAAGCACTGCCCTCCAGCACTGACTGATAAATGACCCATGTTTGGGACTGTAGTAGAGAGAGGGTGGGTTAGAGAGAGAAATTATTTAGGGAAGCCCCCTCCCTACTGTATACTGCTCTTTAAGTCGATCCGGCAACAGCTGCACTCATCTCATTAGATCCGAGGAGACCAGCATGTGATACCTCTTCTGCCATTTCACGTTTCATAGTCTGAAATCAGAATTAGTCAGAGATGGAGAGAAAAACAAAAGGGGAGAGAGAAAAGTAACATGGAGAGCAGGCACAGGACGATACTTCGAGGTCAACAGGTCACGGCTCGTTGGGCAGGTGCAGCTCTCAACAGCTCATGAATCACCATGACTCTCCTTGACTGCCTGACATGTTGGATGTTTACCGTCACTCCAAGCGCTGTTAAAACAGTGTAGTTGACTAGCTGGGGAAAAGACTTTTCCTGCTAATGCTAATTATAGTGATAAGTCAGACTACCATCCACACCTTGTTTATAAATGGCACATCATGATATCTAAAACTGAGACATTTATTTTTAGATAATAACAGTGTACTAAGGAGTTGCATCAGTGCAGATGTTGATGCTACAGATGGTAATCGTGAAGCACCTCAAAGATTTAAAACAAACTGTTAATAGCACTTTTCAAAACCACACTTACACACACAGTTACAGTCATTAGTGTGTAAATAAAGCAAAACATTTTTCACTACCGTCATTTACAATTAGACTGTGGCTCTTGTTGTGCTATAAAAGGTATCATTCTAATTAAATGTAGCAGTCTATTCATCATAGCTTCAATTCTATAATGTCAAAGCCATTGCATTTTACTGGCACATAACACATAACAAAAGGCCGCCACAATAGCCTTGCAGCCATCGCAGTGAGAAAGTGTCAGTAACTGGCTGAATCATGGTTTGTTAAACAGATTCACTTGCGGGGGGGCTTATTAAAATATTGTTTCCTATATTCTAAAATATTGTTTCCTGTAATCTATAATTGCAAATAATACAACTTCAATATTTTTATTTTTGAGAAACTAATTGTGCCACCATTATAGGCCTTTAAAAAGTAATGTACTTTTGTATGTATGTAAAAACAGGACGCTCAAAGTATGATTAGATGACCTTGCTTTACAGATAAAAAGGGGGGTTATATCTTTCTAAAATGTTTCATTGGTATTTTTCATTGCAACATTTGTGCTAGAAACAGAAATCTGTGCAAAATCTTGTCTATAAAACCTGACACAAAAAAGCCTTGTGGGCTCTGAACTGTGTCCTCCTCAGCAGAGTGCAGCAGAATTGCAAGACTCTCAAAAATTAAGGCTTATTATTGAGTTGTGCCGTGCACATTTCTAAATTATGAACATTTTTCACGGTCTGCTTAAAACCACAATGAACCTGGTCATATTAAGGATGCAGTTCTTGTTTGTCTCCAGTTGGCTCTGCCATGACAGATCTTCCAGAGAGCCCAGAGCCCGGCAACTCACACGTGTCCATCCATGTAATTTCACCCAGCCCCCAGAGCACCTTGGTCTACACCCCCACCGCCCAGCTGACCCATGAGGGAGGTGAGTTGCTGACCCCCAGCCTGCACAGCATGGAGAAAATGGCCTCCACACCATCACTGACTGGTTTCCTGGCTGTATCCGAGCCTGGTGACAAATCCCCGGCTGCAGAATCTCCGTCTGTACTAGGAACTCAAAACCAGAGCTAGACTGGTGGTACTATTAATTGAACTCATTAGCTCTGTGTACAAAGTTTTTCTGGTGTTTAAAGGCTATTAAACTCTGTGAGGCTGATGTCAAACTGACCAAAATGATCAGTCAAACAAGCAATTAAAAACGCCTGTAACCAGTTTGAAATGGCCAGGCAGGGATTTATCGTCTGAGATCCATGTCTAATTAGTTGATTGCTTTCATTGCCTTTTTGATGGATCACCTCCCTTCACAAGTCTCACCCAGCAAATGAACAGCATAAAGGACGGGTCACATATTACATTGTCGGGAGAAAAGCCCCTCGTAACAGACTTCATGCTTTCTCACAGCACCTCTAGCTGGAAGATAACCCAATCGTATTTCCTTTGGCTTGTCATTTCCTTTTTCCTTAGCAATAGATATCACTCCACAAAAGAGGTTATAGAATTTCTGTTCAAGCCCGGAACTGAGGGCAGAATGAAAGGTGACTCTGCGTGCGAAGCAGCACTTTCTATCCTGTTTGTCAGAAAAGGAAATAAGCCTGTCAGGGAAAGAGATCATTTGAAAAAAAAAGATCACTGGTGGATGATTGAAAACTATCTGACAGAGTAACAAAAAGGAAAATCCCATATTTTCCTTAGATCTCAGTATTTTATAAGTGATAATAACCTTGTTAAATATCCCGTGACACTGTTTGGATTGAAAGTTAACCTCAGTAAGGCAAGTTGAACATTGTACCCTATTTACCGTATTTTTAACATTATACAGTAGCTTATGTGTTTTATGTTTTCAGGACTATCTGTGAATTTGCTTGTATATTTTTTTCATACATTTCTTTTACATATTGTATTATGTATTTTTTTATCAATGGTTTTGGTCTTTTGCAAAATGTACTGAAAAGTAATTAATTTTGCATCACCCCTGCTGTCTCTTTTTGCGCCTTGTCAAATGTCACGAATCAGCCATGGAAAGTTCAGTTTGCAAAAATATTCAGGATTAAAAGACCACATGCTGCTCAACAGACTCGGCAGGTCTTTGCTCTCCTTGATGGCCACTTCAAAGACTGTGCAAGTTAAAACTGTATTTAACTGACTGTGTGTCAATTAAACTAGGAGGATAAAGTGCACTTCTGGCATATTTCCATCACTTTTTGAATCCTGAGAGGATACTTCTGGTTTCCCCTCCAGTGTCTCTGTAGAGCAGCAAGGTGGCGGTCCTGTGATGGACAGCTTTCCTGACCGTCCCAGCCCCTGATGCACACCGCCTCAGAGTCAGGCATGTGGAGGGTCATGTATCTCCCTTTGCAGGTATGTGGATGCCTGGGAGACAGCTGCCACTGGGTGAGGTGATAAAACAGCCCATTTCATTCTGGGGACATCTGATAGTGCAGCCAGCTCCACAGAGTCTGGCAGCACTGGGCCCGACTGAAACTAGATCACACAGCAGCAGGAGGGAGTGGGCACCAGGCTGCCCGAGCAAAGCCAGAAAACAACTGGTTTGTCTGTGTTTCCAAGGTTGAAGGTGGAACTGTAGAATACGACTGCATTTACACATGGCGATCCTGAGTTAAGAGACTGTATGTTTGTGAGGTCTAGGAATATACTAATTATAAGATGCACTAACTTTAAGGCTTTACACTTAGATGTAAACAGTATGCCAAACATTGTTCAAACCCCTCAAATATGTAAGATGTTATAGGGATAAATTAAAGGCAGTTGACTACAATTTTAGGGTACAAAATAAATATTAAAGTACGAGCTACTGACTAAAACATTTTTTAAATACTGCTACATGACCTTTAGGATCGAAGGGAAAACATATAGATGGATTCCAAAATCATACTTTTTTATAAAAACACTCTAAATGACCTGTCGAACAGCAAACCTGCAATAGCTGTCCACCTGGGAGCAGCAGAAACAAATTATGAACACAACACTGACATAGCACCTTTTAAGTGGAATATGACCAACTTCTGTTTGCTTTGCACATCCAGCAGATACAGAGCAACATTATGATTCATTTTGAGTCGTATTTCTGTCTACCTGATTGATGTTAGTCCAATATTCACTCCCTTTTTAGCTCCATTTTTGGTCTCCACCAATTCCTGAGGGAAATATCTGGATCTTTAGCTGCTAAATGCTCCACTGTGTTCACCGGCTAGTCGCTGACTGTGCCTGTCTGCTGCTGAGCAGGCAGTGTGCAGTGGGTTTTTAGAGCTTTTTTGCTGGGAAACAGCTGATTGCGGCAGCCGATTAATGATGCCATGAGAGTGTACCAAAACAGTAAAGTTGCAGACTAGACAGCTAAACCAGCTGAAACTCAATATAAAGCTCTGTAAAGCTGAGAAGAGCTGCAGATTTAGGTGATAAAACTGTGTTTTATGTTTAGCTAAAAACAAATATCTGTAGAATATAATATTAACGTTGTAGTTTTCCTTACCTGGATAATGTGTCCGGATATAGATCACATTTTAGTACCAGTTGTAAATGGGGTATAGAATATAGACTGGTACAGAAGTGACCCCTTTCACATTGTTATTTCTTACATTGTTATTATTTTTAAAAACTTTGACATTTTGGGAAATATGCTTATATACTCCAATAATCGTATGAGGAAATATGAAGCTGCGAACAACTGGTTAGCTTAGCTTAGTATAAAGATTGGAAACAGGGACCTATCTTGGCTCTGTCCAATGGTAACAAAATCAGCCTACCAGTACCTCTAAAGCACACTAATTAACATGTATCTCCCTTGATTAATCCATACAAAAACTTTTTGTACACATTAGCTGTCTCTCCCATTTCCTGTCTTTGTGGTACACTAAGCTATGCACATGGTGTATTTACTGAACATCAAAGTGCTATCAATTTTCTCATCTAACTATTTATTTCAGGGTTTCAACAAAGACGTTTTAAAGTATAAAATCATTTTTTTCTTAGTTTCTTGAAATTCATGGAGATTTTGATTAAAACCCAATCAAATAATACACACAGAATCTCCTTTACATAGTTTATCCAACATAGACCACCAACAAGTTTATTGTTTAAATAACATGCCCCACTTACTATATCTTGGTGTTAAATAACCTGATTAAAGGGATCCTTATCAAAAATGTATACTTTCTGAATTTCTGTTAAAAAATAGCTCTCAAATATCCATATCCGTATGAGCCTTAAAAGTCAAGTACAGTCCATCCAGAAAATATTCACAGTGCTTCACTTTTTCCACATTTAAAACATTCATGTATTACAAAATGGATGAACAATACCCCATAATGACAACATGAAAGAAGTTTGTTTGAAATCTTTGCAAATTTATTTTTAAAAAAGAATGAAAAAAAAGTACATATATGTAAGTATTCACAGCCTTTGCCATGACACTCAAAATTGAGCTCAGGTGCATCCTGTCTCCACTGATTATCCTTGTGTGTTTCTGCAACTTGATTGGAGTCCACCTGTGGTGAATTCAGTTGACTGGACATGATGTGGAAAGGCACACACCTGTCCATATAAGGTCCCACAGTTAACAGTGCAGGTCAGAGCACAAACCAAGCCATTGTCTGTAGACCTTTGAGACAGGATTGTATCGAGGCACAGATCTGGAGAAGGGTACAGAAAAATTTCTGCAGCATTGAAGGTCCCAATAAGCACAGTGGCCTCCACTATAAATGGAAGAAGTTTGGAACCACCAGGACTCTTGCTAGAGCTGGCCGCCTGGCCAAACTGAGCAATCGGGGGGAGAAGGGCCTTAGTCAGAGGTGACTAAGAACCCGATGATCATTCTGAAAAAGCGTGTCTCTGTGGAGAGAGAACCTTCCAGAAGAACAACCATCTCTGCAGCACTCCACCAATCAGGCCTGTATGGTAGAGTGGCCAGACGGAAGCCACTCCTCAGTAAAAGGCACATGACAGCCCGCTTGGAGTTTGCCAAAAGGCACTTGAAGGACTCTCAGGCCCATGAGAAACAAAATTCTCTGGTCTGATGAAACAAAGATTGAACTCTTTGGCCTGATTGACATGCGTCATGTCTGGAGGAAACCAGGCACCTCTCATCACCTGGCCAATATCACCCCTACAGTGAAACACGGTGGTGGCAGCATCATGCTGTGGGGATGTTTTTCATTGGCAGTAACTGGGAGACCAGTCAGGATCAGGGGAAAGATGAATGCAGCAATGTACAATGAGACATGCTTGATAAAAACCTGTTCCAGAGCGCCCTGAATCTCAGAAAACAATAGAGTGGCTATGCAGGACAACTCGGTGAATGTCCTTGAGTGGCCCAGCCAGAGCCCAGACTTGAACCCGATTGAATGCTCTCCATCTAACCTGATGGAGGTTGAGAGGTCCTGCAAAGAAGAATGGGAGAAACTGCCCAAAAATAGGTGTGCCAAGTTTGTAGCATCTTACTCAAAAAGACTTGAGACTGTAATTGGTGCCAAAGGTGCTTCAACAAAGTATTGAGCAAAGGCTGTAAAAACTTATTTACATGACCTCTATTTTTAATAAATTTGCAAAGATTTCAAACAAACTTCTTTCACGTTGTCAGTATGGGGTATTGTTTGTTTGTAGAATTTTTAGGAAAATAATGAATTTCATCCATTTTGGAATAAGCATGTAACATAAAATGTGGAAAAAGTGAAGTGCTATGAATACAGTGATACTGTGAATACACTGATTTCAATATGCTTCAGAATAATAATATGTCACTGACATGGGGGGGAAAAACACCACATTCAATTAAAAGTTAACTACAAACATGACACTTTTATTGAACTTTTTTTTTTCCTGATTCAGTTACAGAAACAAGAGAGTTAACTGTTTTTTTTTCTTTTTCTAATCAGGGGAATAAAGTTCTATACATAGGCATGCTGCGTCACTGCACAGTCACAGCTGTGAAAACCAATATCACCCCTGTCAGCTGCCCTGTTGGAACAGTCTGAAGGCAAGACAAATCAGGAGAGGACAGGCAAGGACTTGTCAAACCCAGGGAAGGATGGGTGTTCAGTGGGCTGCCCAGGGATGACAAACTTAACATATAGAAGTTTTGTGCAAATTTCACCACAGTCTATTTGATTTCAAACACAGACGATATCAGTCAGAAGATTCTCTTTTTTTTTACCCTTGAGTCTTCAAACTAACAGAGGAAGTTATTATTAGGTCCAGTGATGATGGCATTTTGTTCCTTTTTGGGGAATCATACTATTTTGGACCACTTTCCCCTGACTTTAATCTCTTTGCTTCTCAAAAGCCAGATCTCTTTTGTGTTTAAGAAAGCACAGACATTAAGTGTGTCCTCTGATATACAATGAAATTATGATTGCTGTCACATGACCCTTACATAAATAGAGTTAGTATTCAAAAGTACGTCTGAGAAAGGTCTTACATGTAGAAATGGTGATAAGCATGCACAGATAGGTAGTCGACAAGTGCAAAATCTACAAAGTCACATGTTCTTTTTTTTAAAAAAATCCACATTGAGTGAATTCATCACAAGAACTGAAACCCCTCCCCCTTCTGCTCTGAGAATTGAGACTGGTGTTTGTCTTGTTACTGCTGACCACCCAAAACCCTGTGGGCAGTTCTTCTTCATGGGCTACGACCCACGGATCTGGGGCTCGTAGCCTGTCTCTGACCAGGGTTGGCCCAAACAGAGCCTGACATAGCGGGTCATGCTCTCTTTGGGCATGGAGCTGGCCTGCCGGTACCTGTTGTATTTTAGAATAGCCAGTGGGTACGACATAAACATACAGCAGCAGTCAAGAGTTGACCCATAGTCTATTTATATTCGAGGGTTGTTTAGAGACCAGGTTTAGTGACTGTTTAGTGACTCTTGGTGGGCTTGAAATTAGTTTTTAAACCCTCCCTGCTGTGTTTTTTTATTATCCCTAAAGTATCACAGAATATGTCATTGTTTACAGCATGAAGTGCCAAAAGTTATTCACAGCCATTGTTGTTTTTTCTGAAAAAAAAGTATGTCTGTATCCCCATAACTGTTATAGTAATGAGTGGACCTCTGTCTGGACTGAGAATACTGCGCAGATTTACCAAAGGAAATTCCTATAAATGACGACTCATATCATTTCCTTGAACATTAATCAAACAAAAAAATAAAAGCAAATCTAGTGTTGGCAAAACAGTTCGAAAATAATGCTAGTTAAAAAAAGACACCAGCAAGAGAAAAATAAAAGCATATGTAACAACAAGCAAATGTATAAACACAAAGCAAACCCCCCCCAGATAAAAACAGTTTGCAGTAGTCAGTCATATGACACTGGTGTCTAAACTCAGCCTACAGTTAAAAAAAAAAAAAAAACAATAAAAAAAGTAAACAAGCAAGCAAAGCTTTATAGCACTACTATGTACACAGCATCTCGGGTGAAGAGAGAGCTGGTGTCATGATGAAGGGAGACGGCGTGAAACAGAGACTCTGATGAAACAAGAGTCCTTCTTGGCACGGGGACTTGAGCTATAGCCGACCACAGAGAGACAGGAGGAGGAGACTCAGGAGGAGGAGGGAGAGACGCTTTACAAGATGAAGAAGACAACCACATAGAACAGAGCAGCATGGGCCGCCCCCACATCACACACAAAAACACACACAGAGGGACAGACAGACCAGGGGAGCCATTTTCTCACACAGATCTGACTGACTGAAGGAAGTTGCAGAGATTTCACTGTCGCATAGACACCCCTCGCACCTCCTCCCGCTATCTCCTTCCTCCTCGCTCTTTCCATCCATTTGAACTCCCTCTTTCTACCTTGCACAGTTAATCTGATCTTTCTAAGGCTCTAGGATATCTCAACACACCAGCCACGGCTCTATATATAGTCTGTCACTCACAGTTTGACTACTGTATCTGCATCAGTGTTGTTCCTGTAAGTTCGGTGCCTCACTGGGAAGTCATGCGGAGGAATATTTAGCACCAGAAAGCAACCCTGACTTTTAATTTCACCCCGTCAACTCATGACGCTCATGAAATCACAACACTCATGTACGCACACACAAACACTGATGAACTAAGAACAGGAGAACCATTTCATTTTCTTGCTCTGTTTCCTGCTGATATAAAGTGACAATTTCTCCTGGCTGGTTCAAACCGCCAGTGGCCACTGGAGATGTGGGAGAGCAGCACACAGGAGTGTGACCTAGATACATGAAGTGGTGCCTCCCCACTGATGACTGACACCCTCCTTGTCCAATCAGAATCCACTCTATGCCGCGCATATATCTAACAGCAGTTCATTAGCAGCTTGTGATCCCTCTGTTCTGGTGCTCCAGGCTGCTCTTGTTGTGTGCGCGGTCAAAGGGGAAACTTCTTTTCCAACCGCAAGGCTTCACAGTTTGTTTCACATTTTGCAAAGTGTCCATGCAGGTGAGAGGATGAGGCAAGGTGAGAAGAGTTATGTGTTATGTTCACAGACGGCGCAGAGAAATGCTAACCGGCAACAGAGAGAGACAAGGAGGAAGGAGAGGGGTAACAGTCTGGAGAGGCATGGTTGATTGGAGTGGTAGAGTTGTGGTGCCGGGAATACACACAAACGTTTTCCTCTTACATACTCTACATACACACCCACAGAGGCTGGGTTCTTTTTAAGAGGGATGTGCTCGCACTGTACAGTTGCCCATGTACTCTGTCTTCACCTACGCTTTGGATGGATGGAGGACAGAGCCAAATGTTTCCACTTGAGCGCCAGCATTGTGAGGAGCAGCAGAAAAAAAGACATCCTGACTGACAGGAATGAGCGAGAGAGCAGGGAAAAGCGATATATTTCACAGTTTTCAAGGATGCTTACAGTGCTGCAGTCTCAGGGGAGCAAATCAAACAATAAGAAAAGAATACTGCATGTTGATGTTTTTAGATCCGAGTCAGTGTGTGTTTTGTTTTGCTACTTGCTGGGCACATTATGAGTTTCTCAACCCTTCTATAGAGATTTGTGTGCTAGAAGAGCTTTAGCTCTGTCCTCCATACCCTACTTTCTCGCACTCTCACACATGCACTCATACAATAGTTGATTGGCACACAGTCAGTGTTTAAGTCTGTACACAGAGTGAAAGGGCCTTTTTGGCATCCATGTTTTAAGTCCAATACAACCAGGCGGGCTTCTCGTCCTGGACCCCGTCCCTCCTCACCCTCTACATCCTCTTCTTCTCCCCATTTGTTTTTTTTTACCACACATCTTCTTTCCAATCCTCTCACTCACCACAGCTGCCTCCCTGTGTAGGTTGGAGGGGCAGAGGGCACCTGTAGAAGGAAAATAAAGTTTGTAAATGATAAACAACCTGGATAGAGTCGCATACTCACACATGCATCTCCACACACATGCAAACAGCAGCTGTAAAGGTCCCATTTTCACTTTTTTCCTCATGCTTGTCTACAAATCTCTCTGTAATTTAGGACAAAATACATCTCTGACTGTCTTTTACTTTAAAATAAACACTTTTGAATCATCTGATAGCTCTCAAACTGGCATTTACTCATGCTCTATAAAGCTGGAACAAACTTACAGGCAATATAAGACCTGGCCAAACTCTCAAACAACAGACACTTTGGGATCTAAGCTTATTTGCTTTTTTGCAGAGAGTCAGATGAGACGATAGATACCACTCATGTCTGTATAGTGTAAAAATGACATCTTGTGTGTGCTAGGTGTTTATTGTTACCTTTGGACAGAGCCCGGCTAGCTGTTTCCCCTATTTCCTGTCTTTTTGTGTTAAGCTAAGCTAACTACTGGCGCTAGCTTTATATTTACCATACAGTCAAGTGAGTATATATCAATGTTTTCATCTATAGTTTGACATCTATCATGTCAAACTATATAGTTAACTCAATCTTACACACGTAGACTACTATCCACCTTGCACTTCCATCCTATGCTCTCTTCTATTTAATTATTTTATCATTTCAATTCATTTTAAATTGCTATGTGTAAATTTTTCCTTTAATACCTTTTATGCCCTGTGCAAAGCACTTGAGTATAAAACATGCTGTATAAATAAACACACGTCTTGTAAACAGAGACACTGAAAACTAATGATATTTTATGCAGAGTAGCTTAAGGAGGTCTCTGCATTCTCTTTGTCAGCTAAATCAGCACGTCTAGCTGCAATCTCTAGGAATAGTGACTACAAATTATCTTTTAGTCAGCAGAGAGTGTTGCTTCGGCGTTTTAGCCCCCAGTGGTGTGTGAGGTGCCGTGTTGTGCTGTTGTGTGGCAGGCTTAATTCATAACCCAGTGGCTGGAAATAAGTTCACCTGTGCCAGCAAGAGTGCACATTCATCTTGCAAAATGAAAGGGGTGACCAGCGGACAGTCGCATAACTCAGCGGGCAGATAGCATCGCAGCTTATTTACACGCACAGGAGCACATGGGAGCTCTCTCACACTCACCCATACACAAATCAATGTCAGATGAGTGACCATTTGTGACAAACCCATCCATGCATGTGCCCACAAAATACAACACACACAGGCACCTGACCATGCACCCTCAAAGTAGTTTATGGCTCACACCCGTCCCTCATTCTTGTGCAATGGTGTACGGTCCGGAACGCACAAATGTGCATGCGGTCTTGTTGGCGTGGACAAATGAGAGAGCGGCGTGTAAGCGGCATGTAAGCGGCGTGTACCTGTGACTGGGCGGATGTACTCACCGCTCCCCCGTTCAGGATCATGGTCATCTCAGTGGGCTGATAGACGTTGCTGCGGAAAGGAGCACTGGGCCTGGCGGCGGTATTACTGTTGTGTTGCGCGGCACTGCTACCACTCCTCAAACCTGGCATGGAATAGACGGAGAGGCGGACAGAGATTACTTGCTATGACTCACCACATCACCAAAGGAAGAAACACTGTAATCCTGCACCACAGATATTTCCTCCTGTACTTATTTCTAGCCACGCATGTGGATATTTCCTGGTGTTCTATTACTCATTCTGGCCTACATTCCACCTACAGCCTGTCCACACATATTACGCCTGTCTACTGTAAAATATTGGATTGCACTGTACCTGCGGCGTTCTCGTCACTGTATCCGTAGCCCTGGTTCTCCACAAACTGCCTGTGAGAGAGAGGGATGTCTTCATCGAAGCTGGTCTCCCTCATCCGTGTCGAGTTCTGGGAGGTGTCAAAGTAATCTGGGGCAGTGGGCTGTGGAGGAGGTCTCAGGCAGATGTGGGACTCAGGAATGGCATGGAATATCAGCAGCAGCCAGCCCTGAGCCACTAAAGCAATGGCCAGTGCCGGGTCATTCCAGTCTGGGTACCTCCCCAGCCAGGCGTTGCCATACAGATAGAAGCCCACCCAGGTCACCGACAGCAGCAGCGACAGCAGGCATGTCACGAGCAGCCAGATGGCATTGCAGCGCCATTGACGTGTCTTTCCACACAGCGCTAGGGAGGCAGCAGTGAGTGCGGCTAGTAGGAGGGCTAGCACGTAGCTGCAGGCTAGTGAGAAGTCCACTGGCAGGTACAGACAGGCAGCTTGTCCCTCCTTCAGCACGGTCAGAAGTAGCCACTCCGCGGCAATGATACCCTGCACAGCACTCAAACCCAACGCAAGGCCTGTTAGGGCGCAGCTGCCAGGGCTCCGTCGCTCACGACCAAGCCTATGCAGTCGGACACCCTGCACCAGCAAGCATGAGAAGCAGACGGCAAACAGGAGACCCCACAGGGCCCTGCGGAGCAGACATAAAGACTCATCCTGCTCGATCAAGTAAGCAAAGCTCAGGCCGAACAAGCCAAGGATGCCAAGGAGCAGCAGGAGGATGGGTCCCACAGCACTGCGCTTCTCAGCCTCACCGATGTGGTGCAAACGGCATAGCAGGACTAGGGCTAGCAAGACGGCAGTCAGCGCCCCACCAGCAGCCACAGACTCGACAGCCACACCCCATATGGAGTCCAGGTCACAAAGGAGGGTGTAGGGACGCACAAGGCCCCAGCCGCAGCCTCTTGGGAGAGCTTCTGGGTCCTTGGGGTCTTGACCAGCGGCACGATGAGCAACAGTCAGCAGCAGCAGGAACAGAACCGGGAGGAACGCCATCTCTGAGAGATCAACAGACCAGAAGACAGACAGAGAGAGATGAAGGAGCAAGGATGGACAAATCAAAGGAATGGAGAGAAATGGGAGAGAGAAAGAGAGGGTGTCGTTGTGGTCATAAATGTTTGGAAAGCAACCAAGCTGAGCAGTCAGTCATTCCCTTAGCAGTCATCCGCCTGTGAGTGACAATACAGACAATCAGCCACTGCTGTGTTTTAGAGAGGAAACAAAGGACAGCAGTTCATGCAGGGTGAATGACCTAAGCCTTTCCAAGCAAACACACACATCCTGTTTCACCAATAGTAGCCCATAGCCCTGGCCTCTTTTGAACCTTTTAAAAGCTTTAAGGTTTCAAACACCAAGTTAACAACATACACATAGCAGAAAAATACCTTCAAACCCAGAAAGGCCCATATAAGCTGCCTTCCGCTCATTCACAGAGATGTGAGGTCAGAGTCGGAGCACCTACAATGCTTCCGAAGAGGGTTTCAGGTGTATTATTTGTCCAGTCTTGTGCAGTGAACCGACTGCAGGAGGACTGACAGGAAAGCTGCAGCATTGTGCATATTTTTATGATACAGAGAAGGGAAGTAGTGCGTACAAGCAGTTACGCTTACTATCAGGCATCTAAGGGCATCTAGCAAGGCGTGAGACAATGCATAATACACCGCACAGATACACTGCGCCTCAAGCTCGAAGTACAAACACTCCTATACTTTTGTGTCCCAGTGAGGAATAAAAAAACAGCAGCACTCAGTGTGCGAAATCAATGCTGTCTCAGTTTACCTATTCCTTTATTCATCACAACTGTCAGACAGCCATGCACACACTCACACACACACACACAGTCACTCACACATTCACACAAATACACATTCTTTCGTTTCATTGAGGTCTTTGCTGGGATGATCAGTGCTGTCGTTTCAGCTGACAAGCTGTGTGTTTTATGACAGGTTGATCTGTATTTAAATCCACCACAAAACCACACACACACACACACACACACACACACACACACACAACACAACATTTTGCCAGGTTACTGTCAACTGTCTCTCCACTACATTGCTAAGCTTTCAGAAATTCTTTCCAAGCTGGTTCATACATTAGTGTGTCAAACAATCTGCTCTTGAAAAGGAACATGCACACACACACACTTTTCTCCAGCCTCTCAATGCTTGAAGCTAGACTTTGGATTGTTTATTTCAGTCTCGCTGTAGTTTTGACATAAAATATCTCCCGGTGTCCACAAATAGACTGTACCACAATATTTACATAGCACATAAAGGACACTGGCTATCCCAAGCTTCATTTTCATGCCAGTAAGTCAGGGAGAGTTACACGGTCAGGCGGTCAAGGGAGAGTGGTAGATTTAAATACACACCAGCCAGGGCTATGGGTCACACACAGTCCTTCCAGCATGGAGCTTATTAAGTGGGGCAGACAGCCACAAAGAGACAGATCCCCAGAGACTCTGATTTATTTCATTGTGAGGAAAATGGGGACAAAAGTGGAAAGAAGTCTAGATAGACTAGACCTTGTATCATTTGTCACTTTATTGCATCGTACAAAATTTTCTACTGTTGTGGAATGCAACAAAGTCAATGTCACTCAAGTACTGCACCTGAGCACAAATCTGAGGTACCTGTACTGTACTTTTCTTACTTTATTCATTTCCTTCAATTCTACTCTACTACATTTCAGGGTTTGGTTAGTAGGATTATTGTACTTCCTTACATTTATTTGATGGCAGTAGTTACTGGTTATGTTACAAATCAATTTTACACACAAAATAAATGTAGAGCTTATAAAACATGACGGACTGTTATAGATAACTACCAGAGAGTATATTAAAGATTTAGAGCTGAAATGATTAGTCGATCAACAGAAACAAACAGTTTTTTAACTGAATAAACATTTCAAGTAATTTTTCAAGCAAAAATGTCATTTCAAGGTTCAAGCTTCTCAAAAGTGAAGATTTGCTGCTTTTCCTTGTCTTTAAGTTATGGTAAACTGACTCATTTTTTTTGCAATTTGAAACAAACAATTTGAAGATGCTCTTGGTAATGGTGACAGGCATTTCTCACTATTTTCTTTATAAAATATATATAGTATATAGTGTAAAATTAGCTCCACCTCAACCCACTACAACAGTAAAATGCTGCTTACACATTAATGCACGAGTAATAGAAATCGGTATCTCACTTTTCTTTGTAATGGAGTATTTTTACAGTGAGGTATTAGTGTTTTTACTTAAGTGAAGGATCTGGATACTTCCGCTAGGACTGCTATGAGGTGAAGACAGTAAACCTATTAACAATATTTTTGCATATAAGGTGTGTCCATGACTCCATGTTACTGAAATCTTGAAATGCTGTTTCAAACTCCAGGCACAAAATAGGGTTGTGTGTGTTATTAATAACACCCTTAACGTTACTGGGGACTAAACTCACTCATCTAGTGCAGTAACACAATATGTTCAGAGAGGCTACGGCAACTCTCTCTATCAAAACAAGTGGTTCAATTCTGCCCCAAATTTTCAAATACACACATGTACACAAAGGCATTGCATCCATCCATTTATTTACAGGCTTTTGATATGTCTGTCGTAATGTCCATTAAAAAAAAAGATAAGGCAGCGGTTGTTTACAACTTGTGAAATTTCATTATTTATTTCCTTGAGACCCCAGAGGGCATAACAGTGAAAGATGCATGTGTGGATATATGTGTGTTTGTGTTTGTGTATATTCATTTGTTTAAAGCTCTTTCATGTATCCTTCAGAGGTTTACACCCTCACAATTCCTCCTCACGCCTCCTCATTACTAAAATTCTTCACTCCCTCATTTCCTGACGTTATTTCAGCCTGTCGTTTCCTGTCGTCTCCTTCCCTCCTTGTTGCAGCAGCTCACACAGCCGCTGGTTATTATTGGTCTACATTAACATCAATCAGTGTTTATGGAGGGATGAGTCACCAAAACACGCACAAAAAACACAGAGCTTTACACACACACACACACCTTACACCCTACATGCATGCCTGCCACAAAAAACCACACACACTCCTGACAGCCTCATGCTTTCTCCTAACATCATGTTGTTTTTCTAGTGAGCCCCTGACAACCATGGTTACGCCCCATCTCTAAAATGACAGGGATAAAACAAAAGGGAGGGGAGACAAAAGGGAGAAAGACAAGACAAACAGACTGCCCCTCCTCTGTCCTTTTTTTGTCCTCTATCTTTTTTTGTCTTTTCTTACCGCCTTCTTTTGTCACACTTCCTAATGACAGAGACTGTAAAACCAAACAGTTAAGACAAAGTGCAGCACTCACAGACCAAGAGACCGGAGCTTGTGGCTCCTGCACACAACGTTACGTTTTCATTCACTCACCCTCTCACCCAGTCACTCCCTCTTGCACAGATGGTTGCCCTAGCTGCTTTTTGAGTGTGACTTGGCACACAGAGGGCTGCCAGTGGCCACACACACACACACACGTGCAAAAGTGCAAAATCACCAATGCTAATGCCAAAATGCACAACATCCAGTACATAAAACATACGTACAGCACACATGCCCCACACTTCCCCTTCCCTGTTTCTCACTAATCTGACTCATGTGAAAAGGGAGAGCGTAAGCCCCTGGCCTTCCACTTGTGCAGCACAGAGGATGCTGCTGCCGTCTCATCATCCCCTCCCCTCCCTCCCATCTTCCTTGACATGTTTCTCTCTGTCACTCCCTTCTCCATGCGGCCATTTCTGCCATCCCCTCCATTTAAAATCCTCTGTGCTGTCAGATTCAAATGCCACCTCTCTTCCATAGCAGCCGGAGCAGTCGCACCCCCCTGCTACTTTTGAAGGTGCTGCAAAAGATGCACCTCACACACCTCCTCTCCCAATATTTTCTCCCGAACACATCCCTCTTGCTTCCATTTTGGCTTCTCCTTCTTCCCTCCTTGTGCCCCTTCCTCCTCTTTCCCTCCCTCCCCCTTTCGCCTTTATTCTTGCTGTGTATCTTATGTAACTGGGGAAGAATCCAGCTCCTGCCAGTTTTGCTGCATGGCTGCTGTTTCTGAAGCATCATCTTCTTCAGTGCCAAGTAGCCTGCTGGCACTCAGAGGTCTGTCTTACCGTTGCATTCTGCATCCGTCTGTGGTTACATGCATTCATGCAGCATGTGTTCTTCACACACACACACACACACACACACACACATACAGGCATAATGCCCATGTGTGGCTGGCTCTATTTGCATGTAAATATAACATTCTGCTTGATGGCATGTATTATGCATCTCTGTGTGTGAAGGCACCACATTCTCACACAAAGCCGACTGTGGCAAATATGCAGCATGCATTCCTTGCAGCACTGCTGTTTAGCACACAACAGGAATACAGGCATGAGAGTGCAAATGTGCAGCGCCGCAATCCTTCACATCTGCTCCAGGCTGGATAGGCAGGGATGGGAAAATCTAGCGAGCCGTCCTGTACAATTACCTCCGCCTATAATTATCAGACATACCACACAACCAGATGCTGTCTAATTACCGTGGTGATAACTGGGAGGATTATTGCATTTTGACGACTTTCTTCAATTCTCTTTTTTCCACCCTACTGTTTTATTCAGACTATTGGGACAAAAATGGAGTGTGTGTGTGTGTGTGTGTGTGTGTGTGTGTGTGTGTGTGTGTGTGTGTAGGAGTGTGTAGGTATATGTCTGAAAACACACTGGTCCAGCTGTTGAGGTGAGCAGGTCGTTTGACCTAACTAAGACTTTTCCATCCTTGACAGCGCATTTACATTTACATACACATTTACATCTTACATCAGTCACTTCAGTTACATAAGGCCTTAGATATCAGTCCTGTTACATGACCCCAGGCTGTCTGGATGCCCTGTCTCACTGTATGAGATTTACTTTGGATTAAAAACACATTTGTGCTTCTAAACAAGCTTGTATCCTCTAATAGCTAGGTTTGTTATCGGAGGCATCATAGACTGGTCTTTTGTCAGTTGTAACTTCTGTCTTAAGCTCTCTTGACCCTCTCTAGTGTCTTTAGTGAGAATAATTGGCTTGATGTTGCTCCTAGAGTTGGAGTCTGACATGAAACAATGTCCAGAAAGGAGAAGAAGTGGGAGGTGACAAAAGTAATACCAACAAGGACCTGCCTGTCTTACCTGATGTGATAGATCTATGACATACAGGTGTATGTCTTTCTCCACAGCAGACAGGAGCTCAGTGAAGGACACTTTAACAATTCATAAAATTGTGACTTTCCAGAGATGGCCTTACTCTAGTGTGCATTCAGCTGTCAGAGTCAGAGACATCCTATGCAGAAAATTGTATGATCATGGTCAATTTACATGAGATTTCCAAGTTAGATATCTCTGGTGCAGCAACACACAGTGTGAATCTTTAATGCAAGTACCCTTTGCATAGATTTACACTTTTTTTTATGTGCTCACAATATTTGTTTTAGCTGCCTGTTCATGGCATTCTTTGTTTGAGAAACTTAACTTTTTCTTGCACAAATGTGAAGGAATGCATTATACTCACCACTGGAAACTCATCCAACTTCGTACTTATAAAATGCACAATAACCATAAATTACAATCCACGATCTGATCTGGCCGACTTTGTTTCTCCGATCTCTACGCCTCTGTAAGAGACGCGGACAATCCCTTGCAGCTGGTGGTGGCAGATAAAAAGATGGGAATAAACGGGATTAAGAAGAAGAAGAAAGAGGGGCAGAGATGCAGTAGATGTCAAGGCATGATGTATTGGTGTGCTAAAATACTGAAAAGGAGTTGGTGAGGACAAGTTTTAGAGGGAGGGAAAAGCAGCAGACGACAGGAAAGACATGAAAAGATACTGGATGGGGAGACTGAAAAACTGGTAGTCCGTACACTGCGCCGGCCTCAAGGGTGTCAGCATGGAGAACTTGACAGTGGAAGCATTTCCCCAGCCTCTTCAGCCATCCTAATTAGGCCTCATTACCATGCGACTGGGCTCACAGCAAGACCATATGCTAATTGACTTAACAATTAATGGTGCCAGCACCTTACACCCATCCCTCTACTCCTTTTTCTTCTTCCACCTCTTCCTCCATCCCAAACCCAGAAATACACCTTGAAACCAGAACCCCAGACCTCTGGTGTCATGCATTCTGCCTCCATGCGATATCAATTAGCATGTTCTATTATAGATGAAGTGATGGGATCCATGGTGGGATGCATTTGGGGGGGGGGGGGATCAGAGAGGGTGATAGTGATCAGAGGAGCGGGAGGAAAAAGGAGCACCGGATGTGCGAAGGAAGAATTGGAGCGAGCCTTGTGCCTGGAGCATCCATGTGTGTCTTTGTATCTGTGTGTGTGTGTGTGTGTGTGTGTGTGTGTGTGTCTGTGTGTGTGTGTGTGTGTGTGTGTGTGAGTGAGGGGAGGTGGGGTGGGTGCCTGAACACAAACGCATATATAAAGCAGAAGCAGGGAATGAATGTTAAAAAAATGGCACTCCAGCTCACACTGTGTCATGTGTACATGAAGAGGCCACACACACACACACACAATCATCCAAACATTGTACACATGGCATCAGCCCTGAGGAGAAACTGTACCATCCTCTTTTCCCATGAGGAAGCTAACAAACTCATGAAAGCACTGCCTGAGAATAAACAGCTCCTCACTGAATATTGATTAATGATGGAAAACAGAACACTCCAAAACAGGCCCGGGAGCTTTTTGAGTACACAAATATTGCACCAACAGAGGATCTGTGTCATCTGTCTATTCACCAACACCAAGTCAAGTCAGTCCATACATTGACTTCCATTCTCACACAAACTTCCCTTGTCTAATTGGACTCAAGTGGGCATTTAAGCGCAATTTCTTTCCCAGTTAGACGACCACTTCAGGGCCCCAGCCTCTTGTTTATGAGGCCAGCGTGGGAGGGACATATCTTCTACCACATCCCACCCTTGGTTTTAGCTGACCTAAGGAGCAGCTTAATACAAACACACACATAAAGAATGCTCTTTTTCTTTTCTTTTTTCCTATTAACAATACCGACCACATGGGAGGGTCCCTGGGGGGTTCCAGAAGAGTGTGTTTGTTCGAGGGAGCAGCAGTAAGACCATTGTTATTGAGGTGTGTGTGTGTGTGTGTGTGTGTGTGTGTGTGTGTGTGTGTGTGTGTGTGTGTGTGTGTGTGTGTGTGTGTGATTCAAAAATAAAGAATGACATCTAACCTCTCAACGAAAAAATGGAGGAGTGATTGGCACTGCTAAAATACCCCTAGTGTGTATTGTGGGGTGGAAATGGAGGGGCAGCTACTAAGAAACCCCAACGTTTCCATCCCTGAGAGAAAAATGTGCCACAGCCAAATCAGTAGTTAAATTTCACACAGGTCAAAGTCCTCCAAAGACATGTCTATAGTTAAGCATAACATGGTTTTTGTCAAATGCCCTTTGAAGTCAAGGCCATATGGTGATCCCTGTGTACATCTCTGCAACGTGTCTACAATGCTGCGTGCCCTCTCTGCTTCACACACCTATGCATTTGGTGCATCGACATCGCCTTTCTTAAGGGACTGTCACTGTGATGCAACTAGCAACTTCCACCTCAGTGGTGATCAGCCCCGAAATAGCCTTATTGCAACACGAACCGAGAGATGCATTCAAATACACAGAGATCCCCCTGTGGGTTCTTCGGCCAAAATAGTCCTACCCACTGAATATCACGCACACAGATTTCCAAAAGGGTATCACCATCCCTTATGCCCAGTCTTATTAATCAGTAGCCTATCCGATGGGCTACATGGTGAGCAGCACGTACCTTAATCGATGTAAACAAATCTGATCGAGGACGAAGGCAGAAGCACAGCTGTCAGGTAGGCTACGATGGGCGACGGAATAAAAATGTCACATTTCGGAGTGAGCTCCGCTCGCTGTGCTTGCGTATTCTCTCTCCATCCACATGGACTTGTGCGCGATCAGCCCAGATGATTCCTCCACGTTGGAAACTAGAGGAACCCGGTTATTCAGCCCGTGTCCGTTGTCCTCAGAGGCAGAATGGGCATGAATGCCGCGTCTTGACAAGTCCAAATGGCTGTCAGGAATAAAATGTGGATGAGATTCTTGATCGTTTACCACTAAATCCTTTGTTCAGCGGTGCGCATCTTTGACTTTCACTCTGTGCCAATGAATGAGCATTCATCAAATTAAATAAAACACACACTCAGTCGAAATCCTGTGATGCGCAGAGATGGTGCCCCCCAAAACCGGCCGGATCCCCTTCTCCTGCTGCTACTGCGCTAATTACGCCGCTGAATGTCCGGGTTGACGCTCACCGCTTCCCGCTGCACATCTCCCGACTGAACGCATCACCAAAACTGCGCTTCGCGTAACGTGCGTACTGATATCACCTCTCCGCACACATACGCACAGAGAGAGAGAGAGAGAGTGAGAGTGTCAGCTCTCCTGAGCCCGCCACAGCCCCCTCTGACTCCTCTATCTCCTTTCTCCCTTTAACTGTTTTGCTCTCTGATAAATTAATTGGTGCCTGACGGGGGATTAGCTTATTAAATCCTTTTCTAGACGCGCATCGAGTCTCTCTCTTACACACACACACACACACACACACACTTCCTACCAAAATCTGGTCTTAATGTTTCTGCACGCAAAATCCGGACTCTCTAAATGCTGCCCCTGCTTAGATCCAGTTTACGGGACTGTTTTTGCCTGCCTCACTGCGCTAAATAATCGAAAAATATGTAGCTATATTGTCAAGTTAAACTATTGAAGCTCAATTTCCGGTTATATCCTTCAGAGTAAAGTTCTTAAGATAAGTTCCGTACTTTTCAAAAATAGAAAACAAATCAGCTTATTGCAAATATATTAGCCTACTATAATAAAAATGTGTTAACCCAAACCCTTTCCCCCCCAAAACAACAAGCTGTCAAAAGGGAATGGTACATGGACTGCATTTATGTAGGCTTAGCACTTTTATCCAAACCCCCAACCCTCCAGTGTTGCCATATGAGTTATTTCACTCAAGACCAACTGCCATGTGTTATTCTCACTTAAACTAGTTTGAATAGGTGAACTCACCACCATAGGGCTGACCTCGAATAGTCGATGCTTCGATGGGTGAAGCCTGATTCGACTGTCAATCTCACAGTAGAAGCTTCGCAGCAAGGAGGATCATGCCATTTTGGCGATATGGGGGTGCTCAATGTATGATTTTACATAGCACTACCAATTTTCTCCCAATAATTTAATATACTGCCTATTACAATATACATTTCAACATATTAGCTATGTTGTAAATAAAAATTTTAAAGTATCACTTGCAGTAGAGACAGAGCCTCAGCTTCACCGCTGTTATGCAGAGTTTTCCGCACTCCGTGGGATGTTCGGATCATTTATCACCATTGATGAACCACACAAAGAATATTATTGTTTTTAAATAGCACTTGAAATAGACCCGCTAGGAACCGCAACATGCATGCAGTTTTCTGCCGCACAGCAAGCATGCAAAACTCAACACAAGACCAGTGAATGACAGGCAAGCAGAGAGAAAATGGTCAGCAATAAGACTCAGTTTACCTGGATTTGACTATGAGAATCCTTAATCGAGGACAGCCCTGTACCACCAATAATCCCTGTCCCTCTTCTTCTGCTAGTCTTAACTTTTTCAATTTGTTAAAAGAAGTTGCACTCTTATTCTGAAAGTAATCAAGCCTTTCTTCCGGGGTTACTCTAGTTACATGTGAGTACTTGACACCGCGACTAAACTCTGTGGTGCCCAATTTTTTCTTGCTCTCATCACATGCTTGTCACCTCAGCTGCTCCAGTCCATCTACCAGAAAGGCTTTTAGTGGTGGAGCCTCCACAACCCCCTTCTACCTCCACCCCCACTCCAGACTTCTATCCTGCCTTTATCCCGGTGCAAGATGTGAGCCTGTTGAAGTGATTTGTGGTAATGTTGTCACCATTTGCACTGGCTCCCAAAACTGTTATCCCTGCAGTGTCAGGCAAGCAGGAGTAGAGTATGGCAGCCATGACACCTCTGACCAGGTAATCCTAATGCTGCTGCTGGTGTAAAATATATCAGACAATGGAGAAGCAATCCTCCCTTTTTCATCCACTCAGGGTTAGGTCTCATTTTATGGGATGGCATAAAATCCAGTGGTTTTAGGGTGTTAAGAGACGTTGTCATCTACATGTTAATGGTACAAAGCCAAATCCTGCTGCAACATGATGGAGACACTGGGAACCAACAACCCCAATTCCATTTCACACACTCACACGCTTAAATACATGCAAAGTGAGATGACATGCATGCGCGCTCTGGGCTGTAAGGAGGCGTATCATATGGAGTGGCAGCTGAGGATGTGAGACTAATCTGACAGGTGCAGGCCGGGAGAGTGACAGCATGGGAAGAGGGGGTGGAGGAAAAGGAGGAGGAGGAGGGGAGGGGGTCATTGCTCGAAAGAGATCGACAGAGGAGATTAATGGCTCTCTCGCTTTATCAGCAGGCAGTCTCAGGCAGTACATCATCAATACCATCCTCTTATTCTCATCATCTTTGTTATCAGCACTGAGAGATTGTGTACATTGTTACACTATCGCACATAACTAATCACAATAGAACATCTAACTGTGAACAGCTCACCACAGTAGTGTAATAGTGCATTTAGGAGGTGTAATGTGGAGCTGGGAAGATACATTAGACCCATTTGACAGTTTGTGTTTTGAAGTGTGTGAGACAAATAGTTCTGCTGTGTCACATACAGCAGATTTAAATGCACTTTCTTGCTGAGAGTTAGATGAGCAGATTGATACCACTCTCATGTCTGTACAGGAAATATGTTGCTGGAGCCAGAAGCCGTTTTAGCTTAGCTTAGCACACAGAATGGAAGCAGGGTGTAAACTGCTAGCCTGCTTCCCTCCAAAGGTAACAACACCTGCGCACCAGCCCCTCTACAGCTCACTAATTTACATCTTCTTACTTTATACAAAAGCCAAAGTGTAAAAACAACAATTTGCAGTGATACAAGGTTTATGTGCCTGATTATTTCTTGGCCAGGCACAGTAACTTCCTGGAATCTGGTTGTTACCATGAGGTACCTAGTGGAGACTCCAGTTACTGGTCGTGCTCAAAAAAGTTGTGAGGCACATCGATATTGAGTGTAGAGACATAACATGTATTGTTGGGCATTATATTTGCTGTTGAGCAGATTTGGTGACCTCTGGACAGATCCACTGGCGGTTTCCCCCTGTTTTCAGTCTTTATGCTAAGCTAAGCTAACCGGTTGCTGCAGTATCGTACAGATATGAAAGTGGTATCAATCTTCTCATCTAACTCTCAGCAAGAAAGCCAACAAAACAACATATTTTCTGCTATCCCTTTAATGTATTATACTTACACATATACAAAATAAACAACTCTTACCTTAACTGTATGTGTGTTATTGTTGTTTTTTGCATATTATTTATTTATTTTGACAAGAGAATAGGCTTGTTTAAGTCCCTTGCACCAACCCTGAACTGGAAAGGGTAGTTTCCCGGTATACAGTGCTCAATATTACTGGAATAAACTACAAAATAAATTGTTAGAGACTTTCCGTTAGTGATTGTTGCAGTTAATGTGGCTATGTGTGTGAGGACTAGTTGTGTAGGCTATATGTAATTTGGTCTCTCTCTCTCTCCCTCGCGCGTGCCGAAGAGATCTTGATCGCATTGAGACTTCCTGAATAAATTAAGCTTAAGTAACTCCCCTGACAAAGCCTGTGAGCTGAAACATGTTTTTTTGGTCGCTAAATTTGGTAAATATTCTTCACACAGTATGTGTGCATGTGATCATGTTTGCATTGGTATCAATGGTGCCATCAACAGATAAAAGCAGCCAGTGGAGAACTACTGCTTCAGTATTTATGGAGGGTGACTGATGTATAAGGCTCAGTCGCTGACTAATATAGCTTTACAGACAGGCAGTACACTAACTTTGGCTCTGCCTGGTGAGTTATTGTCCTCTAATGAGGAGAGCACATGCTCTGAAGGCGTCATGTGTCTACAGGAACAACAGCGTCACAGGCACCGTCTGTCAAGTTTGTCCTTTTGGTTTATGTACTATATATGTTGTACTATATCTGTATCTTATGACTGTCTCTCTTTATATGTGTCTCTTTCCTTCAGTGCTGATCTTGTTCTTTCCTTTCTCTCATCCCCATCCACTTGCTGCTCGGAGGTTGCCTCAACTTGTCAAGGCTCTATGCAATGAACCACAGGGTGGCCAACATATATGCCTGCATGCTGCATCTGTTTCCAGTGACAAGCATCAGGATGAGAGCCTATGACCTCACAGGACCATGACAGGATGCAGGTGTCCAAAATTAGCAGGAAGAAGGTCTAATTTTAAAGAGCACTTTGTTTCCAAACACGCATCCCATTTTAAACGGACTGCTCTTACAAGGTTAGAGGATGTCAAGTGGGAACCTTGTAGCTGTTTGTTGAGAAGAAATACTCAGCTGAACAATTATTTTGTGTGTAAATGCTACAAATTCTGACATGTATCGAGTCTGATTCAAATATTAATTTTGAAATTAGCAAAAAAATTCATTCAGCAGAGTTTTTTTGTTGGATTTACCTATCGATCTGATCCATATAAATACACAAGCCTCCACTTAAAGGGGCACTGATTTTAAACATCAAGATCCATTTACTCATCTTGGGGAAATCTGGGTGTGCTTTTTCAAGTCTCTGCAAAGTGAATTATTGCCTTTTGTCATTTGCACAAATTTGACCATTGGACTGTTTGTCAGTCTGTGTTTAATCACCCAGACAACCACTATACTAATTGTGTAGATTTAAGCTAGCTAGAAATGGATGCACTGACCATGTGTTGCAGTGTGCAACGCACCAGAAACCGCATTTGCTTTTAGTCTCTCATTTTTCCTCTCATTTCAGTACATTTATGAAACAGATTCATAAAGTCCTGTAATCACTTAAAAAAAACATTGATCAACTCACTGCATCTTCCCCTCAGTTCAGCGCCTTAAAAAAACTAGTCACTTTGCTTGGCGACAACAAATGTTTGATAGAAATCCAGCTTTAACATGGAGTTAGAAAGACAGGGGAGTTACTAATACATAGGGGTTTTAACAAGTGTAGGATCCAGTATTTGGAGCATTACCTAAAAGACCTAAAAGTCCCCTAACTTTATGAAAGTGCCATACTAAATAACTGGAGTGCCCCTTTAACACACATTCACTTACGTTACCCATGTTGCTTTTACACTTTTTAATTTATTTACATCTTTGAACAGGGATGGTGTACATTAATAAACATTGCTGTTAGTGTGCCAGTTAACCACAAGGCTATTTCTCATTTAATTTGCCTGTGCTGTGTAGTGAAATGTGCTGACTTGGTCACTGAGGTAATAAGGGTGGTATGTTTCATGGGGATAATCCAGACCTCATCTGTTCATCACAGTGATTTAAACCCTCCGGCTGTCACTGGCTGTTCAGAATACTACCTTAACCTAGCCTAGGCTTTCAAAGCAGCCTAACCCTGTAGAAGGAGGGTACATGTTAAAGGTCATCTGAATGTGACCTTGTTGTATCAACTTAAAACAACCTATATGTAGATTTGCATGTTCTGTATCTGGATGACAGGACACATACACAGAAGTATTCACACATACATTTCTTCCACAAACACAGAGGTGCTATCTGACCGTTTCAAAGATCACCACATGGACTGAAGTGTACTTGTTTTCATTTAGTGAGTCTTGGAGACCTTTCTGTCATCTCCTCAGATTTCTCAGTGGCTCTAAACAGGATTTAACCCTTAGGAGGTCAGGGTGAGGTCAGTGGAATAAAGGCAGCTCCAGGATTTCCTCCTCTATCACCCACTCACCGTGTCTGCATGCTTAAAGTGACATATTGTTTTTAAAGCCAGCCTCAAGGACCTAGGTGGATAAAGGGTGCTCTTTTTATCAGCAGAGCAGAAATCTCTCCAAACACAGAAAAGATGAAAGTGGAATACTGGAAAGTCACTGAAAATCAGATGAAGTGAGACTCTTATTTCACAGGCGTGTCTGTTGGTATGGAGTAAGGCTCAGTGACCATGTGACGCTTTGCAGAGCATGACTTGAGGTTGGGTGATTTGTAGCCCCACTGGCCGTGTGGCTCTAGGGATGGCAGTGTCAGCTATTGAAAACTGATGCACACGTGCATGTCCTCCTGTTAACGTTAACATTTCATCTAGTGCCATCATCAGGCAAAACTTATTTGTCCAGTACTTGGGTTTATGATCAAATAACCTGCAAAATGAATACCATTGCCATCAGCCTCAGCTGTATGTTGTGTTTATGCTGAATTCATACAATGTTGTCAAAAATCTTTAATTTTTCCAACATGCATTCACTCCGCCTTGCAGTCAAACCGGATAAATATCCTAAATTGGCATTTTGTCGTTTACATATTTGTTGCTGTTCATTTAAGTTAAACCAGATAAAAACATTGAGTACCTTCCTGTATGCTTTGGGCTCTGCACAGGTACCTCACCTCACTGATGCTAGGTAGATGGGAACCAATGATCTTCTAAGCAGTGTTAATCAGAGCCCTGGGCCGTGCACATCCCATGCCAATTTATGATGTTTCCATTCATGTAACCACATTTGTTTGATTCACCAAGTGGGAGACATTGTAGACTCAGAATTACAGATTGGAGGATGACGTGAAAGTTTTTTCCTACTTGACTGCTCGTTTATTGTAAGTGATATAACATTAGTGAAGAAGAAATTAGTGGAAATTAGCATATGTTAGCATGCTAAACTAAAATGAGCATGGTCAATTATACCTGCTAAACATAGGCATGTTAACATTGTCATTGTGAGCATGTTAACATGCTGATGGTAGCATTTAGCTTAACCCTAACCCTAAGTAAGACCTCACAGAGGAGCTAGCATGGCTGTAGACCTTGTTAAACTGCTCAGGGAGAAATGAGACTGCAGCTGAGTTATATAAAAGTCCACAGCCTGTCTCTCTCTTTCTCATTCAGCCACTTCATCCCAGTCCAGGCCCTAACCTCTCGAGGTCCTATGTTGTCTTCACCCTCCTGCACAATTATCCAACCAAGTGGAAGCTGCTCTGTCTGGCATGGGGCAGAGATCTGAGATGGGGTGGGGGTGGAATGGAGAAGCTTCGCCACCCAATCTGACTGCAGAGCCCTTTCTGTGGAGTCCTAATGGGAGAAAATATTGAGGACGTAGATTTTGAGAGGAGAAATTAATGGACAAGATCATAGGCATGCCTTCATAGATAACGGAGCGCTGATTACACACATGGCACGAGACTTTAGCTCAATCAGTCTGCCTTTGACGCTCAGACACACTGCCGACCCCCTGCATGGAATCAGACACCACACAGACAGATAATCCCAACCAAAGTCTGTCATTTGAAGTCGCCCCCCAGTAGGATCACAAGACACAAGTATATGTTATGCGTACAACCATGTACACACACACATACACAGGGTAGGGAGGATTTGCAGTCACAGCATGAAACTATTATGGGTTTAGGGAAAGTAAAGGATTATTGATTTTAGTAGGACACTGGCCAGATGTACCCACATGGCTGACACATTGTAATACAAATCAACTGTATCATCGCAATGCTTTGGCATTAAGTGATTTCACTTCCCTCCATCAGTAATGGTCTTGCTAATGTTTCTCTTCGAGGTCTTTTCATTCATGTCTGATATACTGTAGGTCCATCAATCCATCCACACAATGACTGACTTTCTTCTGAGTCAATGCCGCCCCCCGGCTATTTTCTACCCCTCTCTCTATTCACGCCACGTCCCCGTCTCCCTATTTGCTCAGATTTTAGGTTCAATTCAGGGAATAAAATCAAACCGATGCAGTAGCTGTTTGATATTTAGCTGCTACCTTGCTCAGTGTGTGTTTTTGTGTGTCTCTATGTATATGTAAGCTTAAGCATATAAATGGAGCTGGCAGGACCAGAGAGCAGGACCAGACTCAGGAAGGAAGGAGCTCCACTCAAATTAATCTCCACTGGATGGCCCAGTAAAGGAGCAGAGCCATTTTTGGGAGCAAGGAGCCATCTCCTAGGTGAGTACCATGGCAACAGCCAATGTGGGCCCCAGCTTTTGGAGTTGTCCTTTTCAAGCTCCCGATCAAAATTGGCAGGCCAGGTTTTGTTGTTATGTGGCATCTCTCTTGCCCATTCTTCGGCCTCTCCTTTTCTCTCCCTGCATGACATGGTCTTGGCCTTGTTCACCAGGGAGGCTGTGAGAAGACTGCAGAGCGCGAGTGTCTGTGGGAAAATGTTGCTAGACAACACAGGGGTATGTGACAGTGAGGGCAAGCTAATATCATCTGAGACAAAAAGGGAATGACTAGTTGAGGCAGATTGATACTACGGTTGCATTAAACTAATGAGAACTGCAGATTTAATGTTTCCTCTGTGCTTGAAAGTTTGCATGTTTTAACACGTAATAGGTAAACAGAAAAAGAAGAGCCTTTAAATTAACCACAACTATTGGATGGATTTGCCATGAAGGTTTGTACAGACATTCATGGTCCCCAGTGGATGATGCCTGATGACTCTGGTGATCCCCTGACATTTTCTGCAGCGACACCATGAGGTTGACATTTGTGTTTTTTAGTGAAATGTCTACATCTATTGGATGGATTGCCATGAAAAATTTCCTCTAGCGTCATCAAGTCAAAACCTTTTTTGTTTATGGCCAGGGTGAGCTTATAGGTTTAATTTCTCATCACTGCTGACATAACTTTATTTAGAGAGACAGTTGTTTACTCGTTATAGCATATATCTCGCAGGTTTCATGGAGACTGTAATAGTGATATAGTGGGTGTTGTTCTGTTGTTTTTATTTTCTGCGTCTGATGACCCTCTCTAAAACACAATGGCACAGCTCAAGAGGCTTATCTTTAAATGTAGAATATAAAAATGAAACACGTCTTATGAGCCCGGTGATATCTACTTGTAATATGCTGTATAATGGTATTTCCAAATGTTCAGATATTGAAATTTCAGCTGCTTTTTCAACAAAATAATGAAAGAACTGATGTCATGTGTTTTATTAGGGTTTATTACATTTATAGACAGAACATTGAACAGCGATTACCTGGAGTGTTACATGGTGCATGTCAGCCAGCAAAGTAACTGCTAAAAATAACACTTCACTTAAAAGGTTATTAAAAAGGTATGTCCACGTTACAAAACACATGCTGAATAATTCACTGCCTCCCTTGCTGTCTCTGACTGGTAAACAGATTCAGTGCTTCTCTGTTTATGTTAACAGAATGCCCCCTTGTGGATAAATTAGGAAGTCATAACCTAGATTGAGACTATACATATGGCTGTTAATATGGGTATTATCAAGACAGAAAGACAAAATGCATGACAAGGTTGAGCTACAACAAACATATTCTTCTGATTCCTTGTTGTTAGTATTTATTCACCTGCATTAGCCTAGATTTTCCATAACCACTGACCTCCATGTTCTCCCTGACTACCCCGCCTAACGTGAACCCATGAGCGGCCGCAGCCAGCCAAGGTAGCGCGACACTTTCTGGAAGATGTAGCCATTAGTGCAGTCGGCCCCTGGCGGCTGGCTAACCACCCCAGTGAGGAAGAACACCTCCCTGTACAGGGTGAGCAGGGGGCTGCCAGAGCTCATGGTGCAGTCGGCATTGGTCCTGGGAGTGGTGCAGCCCATTTTATTGGTCATCAGATTGGGGTGAGTCTCCAGACACTGTGGCAGGCGGCGGTACTCCAGCAGGTTAAGGGTGAGCTGGCCCTGGAAAGAAGATACCTGTTTTGGTTCTTTCCAGCCGGTGACTATGGCCGGGAGCTCTGCTGTCATCAGGATGCTCTCGGCAAAGTCTTTTTCTGGCAGACAGGCAGCATTGACTTCTTTCTTAAAAATCATGCGGTCACGGAGCTCAATCACAGCCAGGTCATTTTCAGGGCGATCTTCCATGTAGCGCGGGTGGATGTGAACTAGTTTTACATTCAGCGTCTGCCCTCCGTCTTCATCGTTGGTGTTACGCTTGCCTGAGGAGGTGGAGGTAAGACAAAGCAAGACAGGATGATGCCATTTCTCAAGCTCATACACACATACTGACATGTAGAGTTGCAATAATTAGTCGATTAATGGATTAGTTTATCGGCAGAACACTGCAACTATTTTGCTAATCGAATAATCGTAATTTTTTTTTTTTGCAAAAAAAGCCAAACATTTGCTGATTACAGCTTCTCAAATGTGAAGATGCTTATCTGTGATGAACTGAATATCTTTGGATTTTGGGCTGTCGACAGGACAACACATTTGAAAATGTCACAATAAGCTCTAAGAAATTTTAACAGGCATTTTTCTCCATTTTATAAAAATGATTAATAAATAAATTGAGAAAATAATCAGCATATGAATTGATAATGGTAATTGTTTGATGCAGCCCTACTGACTTGTGGGTCCTTTGACTATCATAATCATTTTACACTTAAATATAGGGTAGTTACATAGTCTTCATCTTATTCTGTACTGTGTATTTGTGCAGCTCAGTCCAACATATTTCAGACCTCTGAAATTGAAGAAGAGACTCTGTAAAATATATTCTGTTAATCTTTTGTAGTACGTTTTCATCTAAATGTGGCCAGTATCTTTTGTCAGCAGAGACACAATTTCTGTTATGAAAATGTAATTTTCACATAGGAAATGGAAAGATTTAGGCCGTTTCCCAACATCAGCAATGAACGCAACCCCATCGCCACTCATTTAAACACCACAACATCAGGTGCATGAGGTACACTGTAAATGTAAATGCTCCATATTTGTATAGCGCCTTTCTACCACTCAAAACGCTTTTACACTAAATCTGCATTCACCATTCAGTCACTGAGCCTAAGTGCTCAAACAGAATCTAACATATAGCCACCAGAGGCAATTCGGGGTTCAGTATCTTGCCCACTTTGACATGCAGCCTGGAGGAACCGGAGATTGAACCGTCAACCTTCCGATTAACGGGAAACCCCGCTCTACCTCCTGAGCCATAGCCGCCCCACTGGCATAGAGAAAGTTAAAAAGCCTCCTTGGGGTGGTAATCTGTCTCTTTCTTTCTCATTCAGGTATTTTGTATATAGTAAATACACTGAATGCTGAGTCATTCTATGGTTTAAATGATAAATTTGATATAAAAACAATAAATGTTATTGTCTCCATTTGGTGTCTTTTGTCTACTCACCAACAACTACCTGGAAGAAGCTGTATTTGTGGGCACATTTAGCTGAAGTCAAAACCAGGTTCTCCTTCAGAATGACTCCGCTACAGAAACCTCGGGACTCTGAACTCTTCAGGAGAGCCTGCAAACAACACAATGAACCCCAGTGACATGCATCAATAAGACCCTGCAGTTTTGCTGTGACCTGTAATGTGTGTGTGTTCCTACCTGCCAGGGACACTCTGTAGAAGAACAGCTAACTCCTTCAAAGTTATTAATGTTCCTGGACTCTCTGTCCTTCCACTGACTCCGACTGTTCAGCTTACCACAGGGGAATGTGACTGAGAGAAAAATGTGAGATGGGTATGATTACTATCTCTCAATAGATTATTTCTCCTTCCCTTTTATGTAGTTATTACATTTAGTCATCCCTTTTTGCACTCAAAAATAATATCAATGTGTGTTAAATGTTTTGTGAACAGTTTTTTTATTATTAAAAAGAAATAAAAAAAGGTCTTGAAGGAAATATCAGAAAAGCTCCTTTCCATCTGGAGAGGCGTGTCAGTGTCTGTTTGGCTGACAGCACTGGCAGGCTGAGCTCAGGTGGTGTGTCAAAGACTGTTAATATGTGAAACTGTTAATATGTGTTTCCCCTTACCTAAATTTTAACGAGTCCTTATCCCTAACCCCTACCAGCTGTCTTGCCAGCTAATAAGCTAAATCAGCATAACTTTATTAGCAGTACACTTTTCCCTGGAGAATGTTTGGTGGCTCGTTGATTGACTAAAAGATAACCAACTACGGACTCCTCTAAAACATTTCTGTTAAAAAAGATTTTCAACCTGTTTCCCCAAGTTCTCAATAGCCTGTTCCCTATGTAGGTAGCCGGCAGGCAGCCATCTTTGTTTTCATTCGGTAACCAATACACAACTTGGAAAATGTTTTTTTGTTTTGTTTATTATCTGTTAGCGGACAGAATATTTTTTCATCCCGATGGTTAAAGAGGTCCTTGGGAATTCTGGAGCAACAATGGTACAATGGTTAGTGCTTTTAAAAAACCTTTTGGATTTAAAACATCGTGACACAAATGTATGCAATATATAGGAGAGGCCCAAACTGGTGCTAGGCTTCTCCAACAAGCTAAGGCGCAGGACAAGAGGTGTGTTCATGTCATGTATGTTAGATGAGAAAGAGGCTTTAGCAGGAAAGCTAATGTGAGTTGTTGCTCTTGTTGTGTAGCAGACTGCTGCTACAGTCAGTTACTGCCTATGATTTAACGCTGATGTTACCGCTTTATGTAACAGTTTTGATTGGCTGTATGGAAACTCTGTGGTTCTGTCTAATTAATGCAAAACTAGTTACCAAAAAATTTTACTTTCTCCCTTTTTGGTTTGTAATTTTTTTTTCAAAGTAAAACACATGATAAGTGATTTACACAGCAGGTATTTAAGCTGTTTAACGCAGGAAAAAATGCATTTTATTTTCAGTTGAACTTTAATACTGGAAATAGACGTACCTGCAGGCTCACACTTATTCCTGTCCGTCCGGCTGAGCTTCCATCCGCGGGCGCAGGAGCACTCATAGGACGTGTAGCCCGGTTTACAGAACTGGGAGCAGCCCGTGTTTTTTTCCAGGGTGCACAGGGTCTGGTCTGCATCATGAAAACAAAAGGGTAAGTTTGCGGCACTCACACCCCAAATGAAAAGCGAATTAACAATGATGATGCGGACATCTCCTCCTCACCCTTTTCACAGTGGACCCCTGTGAAACCCGACTTGCAGACGCAGTCGTAGCCCCCCACGCTGTCCGAACACATGGCTCCATTCTTGCAGGGGTTCTCTGCACACTGGTCTCCGTCTAAACACAGACAGCCCGTCTATGAGTCCATAAGATGTTACATGCTACTAATGACAGATGAAATACCATTTTAACACAGCACTTACCAATGTAGACAGACCAGAAGATATCCTGCAAGAAAAAAACATGCATGTTAAGTGCTCAATTGCATTCATGAAATAGAGGCAGACTGAAATAAACAGAGCCAACAAGAGGCACTGAGGAGGTTCGAGGTGAGAAAAAAATGGAGGAGGGAGTTAACAGTCAAAGACTGGGGCTCACTGTGCGGTACGTGTCCTGGAAGACACTTCTGGCCTGCTCGTAGGTGCACACTTTCTCCATGCAAATCTGCTCCAAGCTGGAAGGCGGGTTACTGCCATCAACGTTCCTCTTCTGACGGGAGATCACTGCGCTCGCCTGCTGCTTGTCCAAGAACACTAGAGGAACAATTAACATCTCAGCTGGTTCATCCACAACAGACTGAACTGCAGACTTCGGTTTTAACCTGTTTGCCTAAACATATTTAGCTGCTTGCCAATAAAGAGACTTGGACCTGCACAGATCTCCTGCTTGTAAAGTAACAGGATTGATTTTTTTTCAATTGATTGATTAGGCTATCGTACCAGTTTGCCAAACAAATACTACAACGAGTTTGCTTCTATTTCATAGAATTACATAACACATTCTTTGCCATGGTTAACAGTTTTCTTGGTCTCTGGGACGTTTGCTGGGTACACTGCATGTTGACGTTTTCTCCAGAGATTCAAATTCATTTGAATGTGTGACATTTGAGTCATTTTTCAAGTAAAAAAAAAAAAAAAATGTCTTCTCAAATGTGAGTATTTGATGCTTTTCTTTGTTTTATTTAATTGCAAACTGAATATATTTGGGGTTTTGGACTGGCAAAACAGTGACATTTTAAAAACCAAACAATAAATCAAGACTATAATCAGCAGATACATCTGCTGTCCTACATTGGTTGATGAATAAATAAACAACACAGTACTCATCATAAAGACATTATGCTAAATGTACCCGATAACTTAAGAGGGACTGTGTGACTCTACCTTGAAATAAGGCAGAAATAAAACAGAAATCCAACCAATAAACACAACTAAACTAACCCAAAAATGCAGCATCTCATCAAATGAGGCTAAAGCTCCTACTTTAATTGATAAACCCACCACCTTGAAGTACTTTAAAACATGGCATCCACTCAGTGCTTTCTTCTTTTCTAATTCTGACAATGTACATACTCGACATGCTGCCATCTTGACCTCCTTTAACTCCTAACTTCTCTTTTCTCTCTCTACAGCTCGGACTACACCATTGTCAGAGCTCTGCATGCTCATCTGGCTTCCAGGCCGGGCCCCTCACCTGTCTGGGGGGTCTGAATGGCTCCCACAGCCCCCGCCAGCAGATACAGCAGAGCAGCAGATGTGGTTGAGGAACGCATGGTGGCACTGATCTTAGTCAAGTTATCAGTGCGTACTCCTACAAACGTGGCAAGTAGATTACGGGATGACTGGAAAAAAGACAATAAGATGCAGAAAGACATACGGCTGAGAAATAAGTCGGTATCAATAACATCAATGAAACATGACCACAACTGATACACAAATAAATTAAGAACACTTGAGAACAATGAAAATCAATGCGAGTAATCATGGAGCAGTGGGTCAATTAGTGCACTTTATGTGCTACCACAGGGTTATTGCCTCTTGTTGGCAGCAGGTGGCTCACTGTTTTTTTATTAATATCTCGAAGTGATTACTGGGGGAGCTCTATCTGGCTAGGATACATTAGGCAATACCAGCTCATCAGCATGTCAGACACTATTGCCGTCATACTTTGCCTTCCTAATTTCTAAAATGTTCTATTATTTTGAAGGGGAATCACATTAGCTTCTAGAGATAACTATGTGGTGTATATGTGTACTGCACGTTTACAGCACACTATAATTTTAGGACTGCCCAGGTTTCACTAAAGTTTTACTAGAAGATGATGGGCGCAACTCTGGCACCATATTAATGTTCACAAATGTGCTCTGATCAATCATAAATAATTAATCAGCAAAGACAATAATACTGTAGAAGTCAAATTAACTAAAGTATTAAAAAAGAAGAAGAAGAATTCCTTTAACTAATTGCCAGTTAAGGATTTATATAGGTGTTTTTGCATGTTAAAGCTAAATAACTTTCCTCTGCTTACACTTTCCATTAGTGCCCAAAGCATGCAGTCATGTTCTAGGTTTTAACTTTTCAAAATAAATATGGCATTATTTATTTAGTGAATGTCTTAAAGATGTTTTTGTTTTCTTAATATGGATTATGCCTGTACGTTTAATGCTGGGCTATATGTAATATGACTATGCAATTCAATAATTGAGATCAGTTTGACAATAATAAATAAATAACGGTATGATAAACCATAAACATCATTATCTTTATAAAGTCAATTCAAACCTCCCAGTTTAAAGAAAAATGAATGCCATGTTGTAAATGACCTAAATCCTTATTATCATTATGTTGTGCTTGTTTGTTTAATAATTAATGAGGACCCAGTAAATGACCTCATACTATCATCAGTGATGGAGCAGTTTCTTGTTCTTCTCTTTTGCAGCAGCAGCAGCAGGTCATTGTTGCATTACTGTTGGGCCTTAAAGACAATCTATGCACACAATGTAAACCCTGAATGCCTCTTAAATAATCTAAAGTACGTTTTCAGCCCAGCAGAGCACGATTAACCCATACTCTGTACCCTGCGTTTATGTGAAGTCAGAGAGCCTAACGTTACGCAGCTCCCTGCCTGTGTAGCCTTCACCAGCCTGATAGCATCATTAGCTCATCCGACGTTGCAAAACAAAAGCCAGAACAACTGCGACACATCTTCTGTGCTGCAGTATTAACCAGGATGCTAAGTTTCTACAAGCTGCTGCAATGTTACAAGTACAAAAACGTTAAAACAGTCACGACTCCGTCCTCTGTTTTCAGGGCGGGGGTTACTTCAGCTGAGCAACATGGGTCTGAGTAACGGAATAAAACAACAACAACAACAACAACCACAGAGGTGCTCGGTACCTACCGCTCCGGATAGAATCAATGTACGGGTTCGGGTTGTCCCTTTGCTTTGCTCGTCCTGAACACACAGCAGGCTTCTGGACGGATCGGGCCTTATCGACCAACACAGCCATAGACTGTATATAAGAAGACACAGAACGGATGATGCTCACTCAACCCTAACTATTTGCTGCGAGAAGTGAGTGTAATGACAAAAAGAAGCCATCAGGGGGCGCTGTAAGACAGAGCTGACCGTCAGTGTACAGTGCAGAATTTTGCCCACAGTCTATGGTTGCCCTGCAGGACACTCACACACTCTCAGGGACTCCCAAGCGTCCCCCCCACCAAGGGCCTGCAAGACAGAAAGTTGGGTTTTAAGATAGTAAACGTTATAAGTAAAAACATCAAGCTCATAGAAACCAACAAATACATCACAAGGGACCAATGGTGAAAGAAGTACTCAGATCTTATGGGCTACTTAAGTAAAAAGTTCACATGTATTAGCATCAAAAAGTACTTAACTCACCAAAAGTAAAATTACTTATCATTCAGAATGACCCATTACACAAAAATGTATATTGTATTATAATTATTGATGCATGTTAGAACATTCACATTGAAGCTGGTGAAGGCGAGGTAATGTTTTATCTCATCTCTAATATTACATCAGAATTTATTTGTGGATTATATTTTGTATTATTAATCTGAATCTGCAAAGTAACTAGTAGAGTAAAAAGTTAAATATTTACCCCTTAAAGGTTCAGTGTGTAATATTTCTGAGGATCTATTGAAAAGAAATGCAATATAATATCCATAACTATGTTTTCTGTGGTGAATAAAGACCTTACATAATGAAACATTATGGTTTTATTACCTTAGAATGAGCCATTTTTATTTACACAACCGCGGGCACCCCCTTCTATGGAGGTCACTGTATTCTGTCGTCATGTTTCTATCGCAGCCAACAACGAACAAACAGCGCTACAGAGCACATTTCCTCATCACGGCATTCTTCTTCTGCTTGTATAATTCCGTCAGTGTAGACGCCCGTCACTACAATAAATACATAGAAGAAGAAGAGGGAATAATAATAATAATGATAATAATATTAATAAACAGTCTCTGAGTAGTCTTCTGGTTTATTAGAAGTAATAAGAGAAGTGACATTTGGACAAATTAACAAGCACACGTTATTTAGCACGAGAGATGACAGCCTTTATACCATGAAGAGTCAGGACAGATACAAACAGCCACTGTTTTCAAAGTGGTGCTGAAGTTGTCTGTTTTCTGCTGGACAGGTAATTAACTTAAGTTTGTCAGACTTTTCCGATACAAATGAAAGCTGTTGTTTGATAACTTCAGCTTGAAGCTGGCTATGATCACAGAGAGAGGTGAGGTGTTTCCCCTGTCAATATGTAGTTGCATTAATTTCATGTCACCTACTTATTCTCCAGCCTGTGGTTTGACTTTGCCGGTTAAGTTAGCGAGCCAATCAGCTGATCAGTAGTTAACTGGCAATAAAACCATAACATTAGCTTCGAGCATGGAAGCATCAGCCAGCTAAACTTTTACTGCCCTGGTAGAAAAATCATTTAAAGTTAGTTGCATTGGTTTATTCTCCAGTGCTGGCTTGGGCTTGTGGTGTAAAATATGTAGGTTAGTTGGATTAATTTCATGTAATTACTCTCTCTCCAGCGCTCTGATTTGGCTTTGTCAATGATCCAATGAGACAATCAGCTGATCACTAATTGGCAATAAAACTTCAGCTTCCAGCATTGAAGCTCAGATCAGCAGCTAAACTTCACATTTTACTGCCCTGGTGGAAAACATGTATTTCTTTTTAATGCTAATGGTGATATATAACATATAAGATCTTGTGCCTATCAAGTGACCAATAATGAATACTTTCAGAATTTGCATTAAAAAAAAACGTGTTTTTTGGATATTGCTTCCCCACTGTGCACACAAATGTGTAATTTTCGCTAAATACGCTAAATGCCCATTAAAAACGTTGCACCGTTTTACCACAAGCTGTCAATACTACTTTGTATTTCTGTTAAAAAATTAAAAAAGACATTTTGGTAAGATTTGTAGATTGCTTATCTAATTAAGCAAAGTGAGCCAATGCCTTTGTAAACTTCATGTATTATGTGATTTATAATGGACTGTGGTGCAGAAACAGTGTGGCTTTTCCTGTTATCTGTCAGTGGTCATACTTGATGCACTAGATGTGACAGTGTTTCTAAGATGTGAGATGTCATTTTCTTTGGTATGTTAGTCCAGATGAGCCTACCCCTCCCAAGTTGTAAAATACTGTATTACAGGAGTATGAGACATCATGTAGCACTTTATTTCTTGATGTGGCTGTTGTTTATTAAAGAACAAGTAATAATAATATTTTTAAAAAGCATATGGTTTTACTGAATAATTAAGTAAATATAATTTCTTAATATATCTATCTAAAGAAACCTGATTTCTTGACTGGCAACTCTGCTATCTCACAGAGGACATCTTTTCCCTGTCTCAGGCAGCGTAGCTATGCTGCTCGCTTGGATAGGGGAGGGGGGGTGCAATTCGCAATTCTCACCACTAGATGCCACTAAAACTTACACACTGAACCTTTAAATGCAGTGGAGTGGAAGTATAAAATGGAAATACTACAAGTTTTATAACTAACACACAATTGTACTTAATTACAGCATTTAGGACTCAGTTACTTTCCACCACTGCAAGGGCTACTCAAATATTGAATGCTTTTTCAATTTTTAGTGTTTTGATTTTGTCACCAGGAAGTGCACGTTATTGACATCACCAATGCAGTAACTAAACTAAGGGTCAGGATCGCCAAAGGGGTCCCAAATTAAATCTGAGGTGATTAAAGGGATAAATATATATATAATGTATGGTTATTTTGCTTCTTCATGCATCTAAACATGGTCCTTTGTTTGAACTGCTCAGGACCACATAAAGGTACAAAACAGTGCTTCTTAATCTGTGGCCTGGGTTCAGCATGTATGTGTGTATTTGTGAAGAATTATATGCATATGTGGCTGGAAGACCAGTTCTATATGACACACCCAGGCATACACACAGGAGCATAAAAAAAAAGGACCATCACCTGCTATTTTTCCTCAGCCGTTTGATCAGGACCTCCTCTGATGTGCACACTTGATCAAACAAAGTAGGCTGCTGTGATCAATAGGAGAAGCCTAACTGCAAACAAACAGCAAACAGCCAACAACCAGATTGGGGCTCTAAACAAATCAGCTAAAGCAGACGAATGAAAATCAAAGTGGACAGGAGGATTTGATGAACACTGTTGAGAAGCTGAGAGCGTAGTGGCTATGAAGCTTTTGGCAAAAATGTCCAATGAAGAACAGTCCTATATGTCATATGTACAACAAAAATTAAAGCTCTTTATGATTTATGAAACAATTCACTCAGGAGGAGTTATGTGCCAACATTTACTTTGTGATTCTTGGTGCCAATGTTCAAACACACACACAATGATAGGAGCTGCTGAAACTGGGTCATCAAGGCTACGCTTTTCCCTCCTCAGTGGCCCTTATTTCAATGGGATTGTTTGTGAGAGCAATGTAATTTGCAGACAAGGCCGTGGGGCTTTTAGTCTCAGCTGCAGCTGTGTTAAATGTCTCGATTTCCCAAGTCTAACAACAGAGGTATTATAAGAGCCTGCTCAGACCAGCTGGTCCCCGGTGCTGGACAGGGGCAGGAACTGGACTGGCCCTGTCCAGGAAGACTCACCCAGGGGTGGGGAGAGCCTGCCCTGGCCTGCAGAGCTGTAGCTAGATTTGTAAATGATTTTTGTAAGATTGTGGTAATTTCCCTAGTGATTGTGGTCTTATGTGACATCCAAAGTTGTTGTTGAGAACTTTCATGTTCATACATGTGCATGTTATATATGTTGCGCACGTGTGAGAGCATACTGTACATGCTAGTAGTAAAAAGCTCCGCATATTTCCCCTAATCATCCATCCATCTCGTTCTCAGTTATGTTTTATTCAACATCCCCCTCTTGTATTGTCTCTCACCTTCTCTCGCGCTCGCTTTCTTGCTCCCATTTCTTCCCTCTGCTCTCATTATTCTTTGAGTGCCAGCTCTAAACTGGAGGACAGCAGGAAAGAAAGGGCGGCGCAGGGCTCACGTGTGACCCAACTGACCCTTTCCTCTTTAAATGTGGGCTCCAATTTTACAGGCACACTAAACAAACAGCTCTACCATCACAAAAGGCATCTATTATTAATGCTACTTGATACCTGACAACTTTCTGATGAGACAACAGGCTGTAGACCCCAAAAGAAAAAGCCCCGGGACTCCCTACCTGTTGGAGTCTTGATTATTCTCCTCGCATGTTACCTCCTCCTCCTTTTCATCACTTCTTTATGTGTAACCATGCTAGCAGCACAACTATTGGATGAATAGCCAAGAAATTTTGTACAGACATTCATGGTCCCCACAGCATGAATTGTAATGTCTTTGGTGATCCCATGACTTTTCAGCAAATGCTATCATCAGGTCAAATTTACATTTGACATCAAACATTCCCATCAGCCAGCTGTAGGCTTCTTTGTGTTTTGTGGTAATTAGCAAATGTTAGAATTCTAAAATGCTACACTAAAATGGCAAACATGATAAAGATGATAGTCTTAGCATCAACATGTTAGCATTTTCATGGTTAGTATGCGCATGCTGAAGTTACAGTATTAGGCTAGCTCAATTGCACAGCCTTACAAAGCCACTAGCACAGCTGTAGGCTCCAGTAGACTTTTGTTTCCCTTCCACCGTCGTCACCATCTCACCGTTATCTCAGATTTAAGGAATGATGAAGGATTCAGGGAATAAAATGTCTAAGATGGTGAACATTACACTTGCTAAACATCAGCATTTTAGCATTGTCATTGTGCACATGTTTTCACAGCATTTAGCTCAGTGCGCCACCGTCCAGTACAGCCTCACAAAGCTGCTAGTATGGCTGAGGATTCTTAGTCTTGTTCCCTTATATGTTGTCCTTTTTACAGTGAAAGACGTTCAGATGTGATTCTCATATGCATGCATCGGGGTCATTCCTATGTTCCCAGGGTTCTATGTTACCCAGATTTATATAACACATAATGGGAACATGACAAAGGGTCCTATGCTCCCCAGGAACAAAGATACAATCTCCTAGCATCACACACCATAAACAGCTTTAAAGCCACGTATCATCTTTGTTCTGCTAAATAACTATCCATAAAGTCAACATTTCTGTGGTGTTTTCAAGCAACAACACGTGATTGGTTTTGCACGTTTGTGTGGGTCACTGTTTGGTTCTATGAAGATATGACAGTGTGAGGTCTCCGGAGAATGTGTCTAATGATGTAATGTGTCAATAACAAAGACTTATACACACACACACTAATGATCTGCACAGACCTTTCCTACCATTGACCTAATACACCACAGGAAGTATTGTATATTTGGCTTGCAGTGAGTCACTACATCATCATTGCACATCAGAAACACATGTACAGTATCTGTTGTCCTATATTGAATTCAACTGAAAACAACAACCCACACAATCATGCCTATATCAAAGCAGCAGAAGATTGCATGTAATTAAGTTTGTGTGACAAGGAGCAATGATGATGTTGTATTAAGTACTAGAGAGAGCAGGCAGGCCCTACCCCTGTGGGGGTATTTCACAGCTATGCTAGCTACTCTTGAAGAATCACCTTCCTCTGTCCCACATTTCTCCGTGTCTGTGATCAATTCACGTCAGCTGGCCATATTTTATTTAACACTTAATCGTGGCGCTCGCCTCCCTGCGTCCCCTGCAGCTCATTTGTTCACATGTAGGAGAAACGAATTAAGAGCACGTGATTACTCCTTTCCACCTTTCTCACGTACCTTCACTCCTTCTCACTTTATTTAAATGTCCTGCATCTGATTCAAGTACCATTCAGCAGAAATAGGTCAGCCATTATTGGACAGTTTCTGCAATTCATTCTTCCTTTCATACAGTGCTCTCCACCTGATGGGTGGTAGAGGGTAAAGATGGCATAATTGAAGCTCCGAGCAGGTTTTAAAATGGCCCTGATCCTCTTCTGTGATCCCCTGCTTTCCACAAGCTCAGTGACTCATGAGTTCTTTTCTTTCATAAAAAAACTCTTTCTTTCTCTTTCTTTGTGTAAAACTCTTTAATCTTCTCTGCCCTCGGGTCCTTGCCTCAGCCACATGCGCTACCTGTTAAATGATATACTGTATCTCACTCAGACAGCAGAGCAGAGTGTGGTTGTGTTTCCTCAGACCTGTGGAGAGGTGGAGTATGCCTTGATTGTGCTGAAGAGGCACAGAGAGAGCAGCAACACAGCTGACAGCTCTCTTAATGGACATGATGTTTCGCTGTACTTATGCCAAAGCTGCTCAGATGTCTGCTTTCTGCATATATAGCAACTCCTAAAAGCCCAAAGGAGGCTGTAAATCATTGATAGCAAGAATAATGAATACTATGCACCCACAATTCTGACTACATACAGTAACAACCACAATGTTCCTCATGTCAACTTTTTCCTGAGTAATATCTATGCTTTCACAGCAGTTCCTGTACTGAGAAAGATGAAGGCAAAATGACACAGAAATTAGTTTTGGGCAAAGAATCTGAGAGAGGATGAAAACACCTCAGGAGTTTGTGGTGTGGTGGAAGAAGTATTCAGATCTTACGTAAAAATTGCAATATGACCTGTGTAAATTGTTATATTGATGTAAAAATACTCTATTACAAGTAAGTCCAAATCTTAAGTTAAGGTATTATCGGCACAATGTACAGTACTTATAGCACATTACTAATTACTAATTATGCAGAAAATTGGCTCCTTATAATTAATGTATGAGCAGCCTTTTAATGTTGTAGTTGTTGAAGTAACGCTTAAATTTAAATCTGTCCAGGAGATCCTGTAGAACCTGGTATAAATATAATCATCCAATGCCATTAAAATAAAGGTTATAATCTAAATTGCTGCTATCAGCTGCACAAAACACAAAGTAAAAGCCACCAGGCAGTGCTCCATGAAATCAATTTTACTTTCTTGAATACCCATTATAATTAAATTCTCATGTTTTGAGCCGACACAGTTCCACCCATGTATCTGCCCACATCTTGCTAGCTAACCATTTGCTGGCTGAGTAACTTGACTGAGTATGTATTACTCAGAAATAATCATGTGTTGTCAATTTCCGATGAATTTCTTCTGATTACAAAGATAGACAAAATGAAGTCTGAGGATGTATGATACATTGACGAGACCTTTCAAAGGGTTTTATGTTCTCAGCGATGTTTTTTCCCTAGGTTAAATGTAAACTGTATGTTTCCCTAGGTCAATATTTTGAAATCACCCACCTACAGCTACAGTTTACTGATGCTATACTCCTTCGCTCTAAAATTTGTAGGCAAGATTGTTTACTTGATTTTAGACATTGATATCTCCACAGTGGCTGGATGGATTTTTACCATTCAAAGTGCATTTGAAAACATTCATCTCCCTTAAGTTCTTTTTACAATTTGAACTTTAAAGATAGCCCACACCAATCTCTTACAGTGTTAATTTATATCAGGTGACACATATGCTGGGAACATAGGAGTCTGGGAATATAGGGTGAGCCCAACATAACCTAGCAAGTAATGGTTGAGAGCGCAACACATAAATCAGCTGCTCGATAAAGTAGCATAAATAGAAATACTCAACTAGCTCAAAAGTATCGAAGTAATTTAAATTACACCAATGGCATTACTATCAACAAAGTATTTTTCGTATCGTTAGAAGTAGAATACCATGTTTTTTGACCGTTCAACAGACTAAGCAAGCAATTTTAACACATTACTTGGGTCTGGTTTGTGGTTTTTGCTTTCATTCTGTAGACTATGAGAACAAATTAAGAACAAATGGTCCCACAACCCCTCTCCAACATCTTATGTGTATTCCCCAAACGTATTTAGCTACCTTCCTTCATTAGAGTGGGGAAAGCATTGTAGTGAAGCTGAAGATGTTTGGGGAATAAACATTGGAGAAAAGTGTGTTCATTTGATTTTTATGGATTTTGTGCTTATGCTCACAGTGGTCTGCTTTTTTCTGGGCAAGATTCAGAAACTAAATTTTTTTCAAGCAAAACAACTGAGGGATGTATTGTAAAGATTGACAGATTAATCTATAAAGAAAATGACTGTCAGTTGCAGCCCTGATGAAGCTGACTCTGGCGTGTTTCTGAAGAAGGAATGTGTTTTTCAGTGTCGGCTGTGTGCTCATTAGCACATTTTAGCTGGAGATTCAGACAGTTCACGCTGCATGGTAAATTAGATTGAGCAGCCAGCCCCAACCCCCACTTCCACACACATACACACACATCTCCAATCACATGCATTTATACTGTATGTAATATGCATGAATGTAGCTGCATGTTTGAATTCACTTGTGCACACGTTTATGTTAAAAGCAGCGGTCAAGTTATTGAATATGCACGTGTAGAGAGACACTGTGCAATAAAGAGACACATTGATAAAATGACACGGGCACATTCACTCTGTCCTTTTCCACAGCTGACTTAACCCTCCATTTATCTTTTCTCATCTGTCACATCTGTCTCCTCATCAGTTTTATTGTCTCTTTGTGTTCACTGCCCTCAAACAGGAACATGTTACCCCTCTTTCCCTCTCTGAGCATCCCTCAGCCTCCCGCCTGCCGCCTCCACTCTCAGTCTCCGTCTTCCTCCCTGTCTTTCTGCTCTCTAGCATGCCCTTGCTCTCCATCTACCTTCCTCTCTCCTTCCTTCTTTCCCCTCCCTCCTATTTCCTCCTCCTCCTCCCACTGCGCTCTCGACTCGCTCTCATTCCCCCTCGCTCACACACTCAGGCAGCGTCCTCCCCTCTCCACTTCTACCTCCACACTCACCTCTTCGCGCCTCCCTCTCTCCACTCCTCTTGCCTCCTTCCTCTCGTCACCTACTAACACATATCATCTGTGGCTCCACTCTGTTGTCTCCCTCTCCCTCCACTCTCTCCTCTCCATCTCTTCCATTGCTCCCTCCTTGTCACACACTCAACCTTGCTCTCTCTCGCGCAAACTCACGCGTACACACACTCATGCTGATTGGCACCCAAGGACAGAGCACCCTCTCTCCCAAACCGGCGACCAGGTGGTTTACTCTTGTGGCCGGGCTTCTTGACACTGAGCTCAGCTAAGGAAGAGAGGACGAGAAAGAGGCCATGGAGCACAGCCACATCTTCCCGGTTTTTTCCCCAAATGGGAGCACCTGGAGCCCGGGGCAGCATCCTTCTGAGGTTGCCCAGGGATGCCCTCTCGGACCACTGCCTGTCATCTACTACAGCGTCCTGCTCTGTCTCGGCCTGCCGGGTAAGAGATTGCCCACAAGTGTGTGTTTTACCTGTGTTTAATCATGTGCACATCCCATTCTGCATTCATTTGCTCATATTGTCATTCTGCGTTAATTTGCTTATATTTGTGATTAGAGCCCGCATCGGTGGGCTGCAGGAGTCTCGCTCTGCATCTTGATTTGTTGTGCACTTGTCTGCAGGTTTGAGTGAGTGCATGTCGTGCACAGCTGCTCCAGAGTGTTACTCATTGCACAAACACACACACACACACACACACACACACACACACACTGTTGATTTGTCATTCTGACCTTGTGGCAATCACTTGTGCATGTGTACGCACTTTGGATGTATTTGTCATGCGCTTGTGCCTGTCTGTTGGGAGTGAGTTTATACATTTGTCTCTAGTTGGAAATATTAGAGTGACATTTAAATAAAAGAGGTGGAAAACAGCAACTGTATGTGCAGAGCATCATTAAACCTGATTATTTACACATGACTCTTAAAACTGCACCTTTTTTTGTTAATCAGGAGTTGTTATAGATGTACTGTGTGTGTGCATGACATTATGTGAGCATTGTCTCAAGCTTGACAAGTGTCTGTTACATGACTCCTCTTGATGACCTGAATTAATCCATGTTGTGTCTTTACAAATGACTGATTAGTCTGTTCGCAGTTATTGTCAGACCTATTTACTGCCTCTATCCCACTGCGTGATCTATGAGCGCTGACCTAGTCTCACACAGGGATTCAAAGTGGTGTGTGAAAGAGAAAGAGAGACAGAAAACCTGGAGGTCAGATGAAAGGTGCTGATGCCTAATCAGAGATTGGGGTTCAGATGTTGAAAGCCCTCTGGACTGTCAGAAACATATCCACTTAGCTTCAGCCCATTATGCTGGACTTGTTCTGTGGTCAAATAACGTCAAGGATAATTCAAGGATTTTACTATTTAACCCTGATTTTAAGCTTTGAATTGGAATGAACCCACAGTTTGAGGAATACAACCGGTGGCTTTTATTGTCTAACTTATCTTCTTAAGCTGTGTACCCCATTCACTTGACAAAGATTGGGAGTGGGATGTTATCAACAACCTAAGCTGTTCTGGTTCAAAACAAATCTGCAATGCAAAGTGAAAAGCTTTTGTATGCCAAGACTGCAGTTGCTCCACAGATTTGCAGTCCTGTAAAAGTACAAGCCTTTTCTGATGAAATCTCGCCTAATTATTTCAGGCAAATCAAGTCTCGCACAAGCAAATCTCTCTGCTGCCATTTAAAGTTTCTCCTGCACGGCCCTTTGGAAGTTTCATTCGATTCTGCTGCTTCTGCTGAGTCTCGTCATTACAAATGTGATTGAGGCTGTTTGTTTAATCACTGAGTAACAATAACCTGAGAGTGTAATGCAATCTTATGTTGTCTGAATTAATGGCAGAGTTGAGTGCAGCGGGGCTGATACTTTGCAGCAGCCGACTTGGACTTATTCAATCATAATGACACAGCTCGTTCCGCTCAAGCTGAATCATGAATGTTTCATGAGAGCAGCATGTGTGAGTAGTAACGGCGGGATCTACAGACCCACACGAATTGAACGCTTGATGCATCGGAGGCTGTTACCTTGATTACCAGCCTGTGTTTTACTAGGTAACAGAAACAAGGCTTTGCGGAGACGTCGTCATGTCTCTCACAGACTTTGACTTTTAAACTGCAGACGGAGAGGGGTCACATCAAGAGCACGGATCTGAGGGTGAAAAAGCAAGGCGAAGGATTGTGATGAGAAAAGGCATTACACAAGTCAAGTGGTGGGAAATGATTACAGTTTGACCTCAGGAAATGATGAACCACATGATTGAAATAAAAGGAGGGGGGTACAAAGAAGACAAAGACACCCAGAAGAAGAAGAAAAAGAAGAGTAGAGAGAAAGAGAGATCAGAGCAGTAATAGAGAGAGATTAATAACAGTAGAGCCAGTGAAGAAGCACCTTTTGAGCCCATAGTGGGGGAGCCATAGACAACGGAGCCGAGACGAATCGCCACATTTTTTAATTAATCTCTCTCTCTTTCATTCTCTCTTCACTCACTACACCGCAGTGCTAGAGACAGAACATACGTGTGCTGGCACAATGAAGGAGTCGGCGCTTTCCCTCAGTCTTTGACATGCTGGGATTACAGAAGTGAGGCCTGCTCTTTGTAAAGTACAGTATGTCACAAAGCACTCCACGCTAAGGCACGGTCGCGGTCTGGGAGGCTGATGAGCGATTGTTTGCGATATAACTGGATGTGGAAGGGAAGCTACGCGGAATATCCGGTCGAAGGCGGCTGCTTTCACTTGTTATTGTTTGAGTTGAACATTTCTCTACACAATCTGTGTTTTATGACGGCGTTTATAGACTTTTTACCTGCACACGCATTTATTAATTCCCACTCCCTCAGCCTTGGGGTCAATGTTGATGACTGGATATTGCCTGAAGGTGTCTACGTTTAAACAATTTGCTAATGTGTTTATGTTAACAAAATGTCTGCACTCCAAGATAATGCAGCAGGGCACAAAGCTTCTAAGAGGATTAATTTAAATTCTATTGTATTCTATTTAATAAATAATTATGCATTAGTAATTGTTATTGAATTAGTCATCAGGCTACCATAAAAGATGTTTTACCAAAACTTGCATGCTGTTGATTTATTTCATCAACACACCAGCAACATGTTTTCTATGATATCATGCATTTTTTAAAATACATTGCACAATTTATGTCTATTAAGCACACAATCTTCACATGTCTTTTCAGAAGTTCATTACTGTGTGTATGCAAATGTTTTGTGTGCTTTCAAGTGCTCTGCAGAGTGCTGTGCCAAACTACTAGACATTTAAGCATTAATGTAGAGTTGAGGGATTTAGGCCAGCCTAATTAATCTAGGTATTCAGATCATTTACTTACATTACAATTATTTTTAAAATGTTTTTGTATGCAATCTGCAAAGTAATAAGTAACTCTAGGTTGGAAAAAAGAGTTGTGCGGCGCTCGTTAGCTCACCTGACAGAGCTTTTTGCTAGGCTGTGTACAAGGTCCTTACCGCAGTGGCCTGGGTTCAAGTCCAGCCCTCTCTCGCTGTCCCGCATTTGCTGTCTTTCTTCAGCCGTCCTTTCAACATAAAGGCAAAAACGCCAAAAAGGTATCTTTGAAAAAAAATAAAAGTAGGGTCTCTGAAACGCAGTGGAATAGAGGTACAAAGAAGCATGCATTGTAAACACTCAAGTACAAGTAGCTTACAGTTCTACTTAGTAGTAGTCACTGTACTTACTTTCAACCACTTCAGTTTACAGCCTGTGCACCTTTTGAGCAAATAAGTAAATTTTTGACTTGGAAACTATGAGACTATCATAAGAAGAAAAACAGTATCATCATTTGTTTGAGTTCAACTGACAAATAATATTCAAGTAGAGTAACAGTCAGGTTTCCATCTACATGTGGCCCAAATATTAACCAAATTTCCAGAAAACTGGCAAAAGAAAATGCGAGTGGATGCACATTTCCGTCCAATACCTTCATGTGAATACTAGGAGCTAGGCACATTCAGATAAACAATTAGTGTCGCTAATTCTCCAGCCGGTTGCCATTAAACCATTGAAGAAGAATGGGCCCAACAAGATGACAACAGTGTAAAACCATGAAGAGAACTTGATGGAAATATGACATTTATATTTGATGCATTTACTTATTTGAGGAACTTTAGCTCAGCTTGTGTGACAAATAAGTCACATGATTCATGAACATCATGATGTAGTCACTAAGTCTTTTTCAGTTTTGTTTTTGATGATCAAATTTGATCAACTCTTTGCGTTATTTGGACAATTTATGAATTTCTGGCATTTTCACACAGGCTTTTTTATGCACAAATTGATAATGCTAGCTAGCTAAGATTGTGTTTAAGGTTGGTTATGTAAGGGTATGTGTTGACAGCCCCCCGAAGTCCCCTACCCTGACATAACCTTCAGAAATGTTAGTACCTAAACCTAAGTCTGTATGAGACGCCCCAGAGCATCTCATAGAGACGCTGAAGGGTACCTTTGGCTTCAAATAACTACGTTTTGTCACTTTTTCTGAAAGTGTTGGTATTGGATGCCCTGAGATGAGAACGGTCAGGCCCAAACCTAACCATAACTTAACTGTGACATACCACTATTATTTCTGAAATGGTGATTTTTTTTATACTTTTGGAAGGCACTGGAATAATGCTGATGTATATGTGTCATTCTGCAGGGCAGTTACAAGAGTTACATGAGATATTTTGTCTTTTAATTTGAAAGATTTGTTGGAAACAGTATGTGCTACAAAGTTATCAACATTCAAATTTCTACTGACTGGCTTTTCAGTGCTTATAACCGCGAGTAAAACTGCCTCATGTGTCATCATGTAATGTGGAACAAGGGGTACGTGATAATAAGCGGTTGTATGGTGTGGACGTGCGCATTGTCATCTATGAGACTCTCAGACAGTCTCTCCTCTACCTGTCCATATGAACGTGGATGTGTTCACGTACTCCACAGCATGTTGGTGTGTTCCTTCCCTCAGCATCGAAGCATCACTCTCTTCCCACTGCCACTTATCCACCGACCCCCAGGGAAAAAGGTCAGGGATGTTTGGCGCTAACGGCCCTCTGTTCCACGACGCAGTGTAGACCAGGTTTCAGCCGCTACTTAATGAAGAGATGCGCCTCATTGATTTTCAGTTTGGACTATTGATCTGTCAATCCGCACCAGCAACAAGGCATCTGTGGTGGGATGGGAGACTTAATAGATACTATCACTCTAAAAGTCGAGTTTAAGCTGAGGGGGTGTAAACTGGACAGAGAACAATGAAGGCTTGTCTTGAAGCATGGACAGTTGGGGAAAAGCTGGCGAATACTTCAGTAAATCAAAAGGAAGAACTGTCAGAACCGGGGCCAGAAACTCAGACCAGAGTATGAGCAGTGAGAGGATTTATTGAACACAAGGGAGAGACAGGTGTGGCTTGGGGATGGGTGGTTGTTCTAAGAGACATGTGGTCCTGGTTCCAGAGCTCAGGGGTATCCGTGGCACAGGAGGGAATCCGAGTCAGGCATGGGCAGGTATGCTGTTGTCGAGACAGAAAAACAAGTTCTGGTCTTTTAAGGTGAGTTGATTGTAGGCTGAGGTACTGGTGTGCTGATTAACTGGATGAGTCTCAGGTGCATAAACTGGAGCTCAGGCAACCACGGCCACCAGCAGCCCCAGAGCATGAGGGAGGAAGCAGAACACAGAGAGACAGACAAAAACCAAAACACACCAAGCACACTATAAACACACCAAGGGGAAAAGAACTCAAAAACTACAATCACACACACACATCCCAACAGGAAGGTCAGGGTCACGACCGGGGGTTCGTGACAAGAACGTTGAGATTTTGAGCTCTGGTTTGTTTCCAGTCTGCAGTTTGAGAAAGGAGAGGAAGGGAGGGGGAGAGAAGTGGTGAGCATGTCAGCTTGTCATGGGGGAGACAAGCCGGAGAGGGTGCAGGAGGACAGAGGAGGCAAGGGAGGAGGGAGGTGTTGTTTGAGGCAATAACTCATGCATGTCTTTGATGCAGTTACAGATCTGACTTTGTCTGACCAGCTGACAACAAAACACTATCACTGCTGCTGAAAACACTGCAGACCCAAACCTCTGCAGGTTGTTTGGCATTCTTTGGACACCGGTAATACATCAACCTGAGGATGATTATAGTGCCGTGATCCGGACATTGTTTCAATATGTCATCTTCCACTCCTTTACCTTCTGTCTCTCTCTAGCTAACTTTTACCTTTCATGTTTTTTTCTGGAGCGGAAACCTCATAAAAAACGCTTAGAGAGCATCCAAGGGCAAGTTATAATTGCATTGTTTACGAACCCTTTAAACAGGATGAGCTGGGTTTGTCAGTCTGCAAAGCCACATCACAGACAGCAGCCTTGATGTAAGGACAGTCATCTCCACCAACTTTGACTCACTGTGGCCTGTCTGTAAAATGAATGGCTGTAGAGGCAGAGCACTGCAGTAGCATCAATATCATTAGCTGCAAGCCGAGCCACTTTCTCCTAATATGCCCATTAAATTTAAATATCCTGTTTCAATACATCTCTTTTTCTCATACTTGCACTGTGTTCTTTATTGCATCTTTCTTTTTCTTATGAGCGCCTTCCCCATTAACTCTCGGGATCACACATCAGGCTTATGCTCACATTAAAATTGATATTATCACATTTGCATGACATTACAAGCCTGCTTTTCAACACAAATTAGCAAAGGATTTCACTTCATGGCAACATCAAGATTTTTCTCTTCATTTTAACCTGAGTTTCAGTTTTAACACATTTTTATCTTCAATGTGTGTTTTTTTTGTGGCTTTGTAGCAGGGATGTGCTCCTGGTTTCTGTTCTGGGGAATTAAGGAATCGCCCTGCTTTATGTCCGGTCTGACACTTAGAGAAGACAAAGGGGAAATGGTTGTCATCAGGAACAAAGTGCTTGTGACCTTTGAAGCAAGCTTTGATATTCACCCCTTCTCTCTGGCTCTCCCCCTCTCTTCCTTCCCTCCCACCACCTCCCTGCTCTCATTCTGTCTTACTGGCTATCCCTCCCCTCCATTCCCTCTAAATTACCTGCTCTCTTTTTTAACTCTCTGTGACCTTCCTCAGACCACACTTTCCTTCACCCTCCGTCTATCTCCTCATCCCTCTCTTCTCCTCGCCTCTAGTCTTATTAGCCTCCGGATAAGTCATCAAAGCCAAACCTCAATTTCCTCCAAATGACAAAAAAAAATCCTTTATTGCAGTGATCACTTTCGTTGTCTTTTTGGGGGCATAATTTTCTTTTTTACAGTTCTGCATGTGTTGTATGAGGCCCACGAGAAAGCCTTATGACTGGTGTGCAGAGAGGTGACAGCATCTAATTTTGCCACCGGTTTCGAGGGGTTAAGCGGCGCAGTGTCGTTTGTCGACAGCCCGTCTGAACACGTCCCTTTAGTGGAGGGATGAGTCAGCCTCGTTACACACCTCAGGGAGCACGCTGTGCCTTCTCTTTTCCCGCTAAACAACGTCAATGGCCCTCGTTATATTAGCAGAGCAGCAGGGGCAGAAAAGCACTCCCACATAAACAGACAGAAGGGGTCACCCATGCAAACACACACACACACTCAAGCAAATGTAGAGAGACATAGACACCTCAGCCCATTATCTGTCATACAGGTCATTCTAATCCCCCCTCAGCTGGAGAGACATGTTTTTCCCAGCAAAGAGAAAAAGGAAAAGATGAGGGGAAACCGCCTGATTCCATGGGTCCGGCCATGAGATGCACATTTTCTGTATGCAAGCGTAGATGCCTCTGTGTACTGTATGTGTCTCTGTTCTGTGTGTGGGATGAGTGTGCATCCCTCCAATTCATCTGTCCCTATCCCCGCTGAGACCTGAGCCATGCCTGTGCCACCTCTTGCAGGAGAATGGCGAGCAGATCCATCCAGCCCCGTCTTTAGCACCCCCCTACCCCTACCCCGCCCCCGAGACAACGTAAAGAGCAGGAGTCAATTGAAATGAATGGGGAACCCAGTGCACGCTGGCTAGAGCTAAATGGAAATGTCAAGCTCGCCACGGATGCCTTTTGTTTGTCTGTAGAAGGCCCCGTCTCACTGGGGAGCCCAAACAGAATAATACCCAGCCGGTGACAGTCAACACCTGACTGTTTCCATTTCATGTCACTCCTCTCTGTTTAGTGGTGGACAGAGACAGAAGGAAAATGAGAGAATCGACGTGAGAAAGTGAGGCGATGGAATAAAGGTGAGGTACATTGTGCAGGACCTTTAATGGATCTCCAACAGGAAATTTTTGAGTGGCTCAGAGTTAGCAGCAAACTTTGACTGGTACAAAAAGCACAGACACAGAAACGATCCCTCCTACTGGATAAAACCAGGCGAGAGGTACCACAGTACACACACTGACAGCTGTGAGACGCGACTGTAAGGGAAACGACAAAAGAGACCGTTGACACAAGCAGTAGGTCAAAACAAGACACAAGCTAACAATACAAGCTAGATCAAAGCCAACCTCAAGCAGATTTGAGTAGCACTTCTTTCTAACTCCATACCCTCAGATTTATTTAATTTTCAAACCTCATACCCAACTGATGCTGACTCAAGCAACTTTAAGGAATTTATCAGACTTTGCACAGCTCCTTATGGAGCCACAATAGTTTTTTTTTCACATATGCTGTAGTACTCCTGTAGAAAGACTTTGATGTGTAAAATTGATGAAGTTCCACTTTAACCAGTCCATCATTTTTCAAATGAAAAAACACTTAGACATACCCTGTGGTTTTATTTAACTAGTGTTTATTTTATTGCTAAAGCTCAAACCAATATACAATGATACACATCCTCTTGATCTCCTATCAGACCCTAAGTACAGTCTTGGAACATGGTGACATTGTATTGGTATCTCTTCTTTGAAATGACCCCACATCAAAATATAGACGGATTTGCTCTGTACACAGGGCCAAGCTAAAAAAATACATTTTTCAAATACAAAATTAATCTTAAACAACCTGTTGTTTTTACAATGATGTTTATTACCTGCATAATGCTTATTGTGAAGATCCATATCCTTGACTTTAAGGTTAACCTAAAATGTTTTGTAATCATAAATGATCGTGGACCAAACTGACAACCAGAGGAGAAGAAGAACAAACAGAAAGTGGATGACCAGTAGCTGAAACCAAATAATCAATAACACAGTAAAATTCAGCATGAAAGCAATTGTGAAAGCAAAGAGGTGTGGTGTGCAAGCAGGGGTTGGGAGGCGGGGGTATTGGGGGGGCTGTGACTGTGGTGGTGGTGGTGGGGTTGGTGGTGGTGAGGGGGCAGGCTACATGTACATATATTGGCCTGTTGAGTCTTGTTAACTGCTTTGACATCTCATTCATGGCTATTGATTGATTGTATGTGTATGTACTGGCGCATCCCTAATGGCTTGTGTGTTTGTTTGTTTGTGTGTGCGTGTGCGTGTGTGTGTGCGTGTGCGTGTGTTAACGTGTGTGTGTGTGTGTGTGTGTGTGTGTGTCTTCTGCTGCACATCCTCCAGTCTGGCAAGGACATCTTTAGTCATTATGTGGAGCCGGCTTTGTAATTTGCAATCAGCTGATAGTGGCTGAGGCTGTGAAGTGTGATGTACCAGACTCAAAGCTGCCATATTTAATCCAATCCCAGATCTATTACTGAAGAGGGGGCACAGGACCACAGAACACACACACACGCTGTATGGACAGTGACGGCTGCTAAGTGCATTGATGTCTCACTGATGCTGCGATGCAAATCAATGTTCGAGGCATCTTCGTCTGAGGGAACAGATTGGACATGGCTTCATGCTGCTGCAGCACGTTTCACTAACTGGAGTTGGTTAGCAACAGTAAATGATGGATGCATTATTGTGTGTATTTGATTGTTAGTTTAGGTAGTTTTACTAGTACAGCATGAAGGTTTGGAATTTTTGGTTAAATTGGGGAAGCAAATCTCAAATAATACCTCTAAATTTTTACACTTCCTGTCACACATGTATTGAATGTTCTCAATGCACAAGCAGAAGCACACCTGTGTCTTCTTTACAAAACAGAAATAACTGTAGTATTACTTTAATGAAATATCAGACTGCAAACATCATTGCTTTCTGGTGAAAACCAAACCAGGAACTAAGAAAAGAAATCTTGCGCATGGAAGTTTATTCTTCACCTTTATTAATATGTGGGACAAAATAATCTTTTATTTAAGGTCCATTAAAGCTGCCTGTGACATTTCCGGCCACTAGTAGTGCTATTCTTCAATGTTTTAAAGTCTGATGGTCCCACGCTATTCCGCTGGTCCGAAGTTGGTAGCAGTAATGTGCAAAAATAAAAAAAAGAAGACAAAGCAAACATGGATATAAACAATGTAGGTTTGAAATTTGTGGGGAACATATCATAAAAACAGATGTTTTATGTGGAAGGAAATACACGTTTATAGAACTCTAGGAAAGACACAATGCTTTTTGGTGAGAAACAATGAAGGAAAATATCCTGTTTACTGTCTCCTCTAGGTTTGGGAAAGATTTGAGCAGGCTCGCAGTCTGTCTATTCAACAGACTGAGAATAACCCGGAAATGATATGCACATGTGGTGACAGGGGGTGGGGGGAACAAAATCGGACAAGAAAGAAACAAGTGCATATAGTTGTGATCACGTACGCGCATGCACCCAGGCACCCAGGCGTTCATGCATTCACACACACACAACCTCACAAACATTTGACCTCCAAGCCAAAATTCTGACTGAACTTGCGGTTGCTATTATTGATGTGTTGGTTGTGAACGAGTCGTGTAACTCGTTACTGTAATAATATTACTTTTCCCAGTAACTAGTAGTGAAATGGATTACTTTTCCAAAACAGTAATATTATTACAGTTACTAATCAAAGTAGTCCTTGACGTGAATGCGCGACTGCGCCACAGTTTAGTGGCACTGGACCTTATGTTGTTCAAGTCAGCTATTAGCCAAGAAAGGTAGTGAAAGTTATATAGTAAGGTAACGAGTAATATAAATAGTTACTTTTATCACCCAGTAATAAGTAAAGTAATGTTATTACTTTTTTTAAGGAGTAATAAGTACTTTCAGTATAAGAATATTTCAATGTATTGCAGATGAACAATCTTGCATATTTATTTTTTACAGCAGATTGTAACTTAGGTGGTGACCAACAGAAGTGGTACTAAAGGAAAAGCTATTTAGGAGCTGAAAGTCTTGGAAAGGAACGTAACCATATGATCCAGCTCCCTTCAATGAGCCCATCAGTAGTTGCTATGGCCACACCCCCTTTTGGCATGGATTTGGCATGAACACAAACACACACCTTGACACACACAGACTTGAAACCCATACCAAATTTCAGCCTTCTCCGACAGAGCCATGTGAGAGGCAGAAAGAGGTCATGGTTTGGTGAAAGCAGCAGTGGGATAAATCACATCAAGCCTTTTGTGTGCTTTCTTTTTAGCACAAAACAAATAAATAAACAAAGAAACATTTCATTTGGCAACATGAGATGGTATGAATGTATATGTTGGGGATGAGGAGCAAAGATTGAAAAAGAGAGGCAGTGAGAGATTGGGCGTCCTTGTGCTTTGTTTTAGGAGTTAAATTGCCGGCGGCAGGGTGGCAGGCAGTAGTGAACTCAGCAGATTGCCAAGGCTGTGATGCTGCACGTTGCCTTCCTGTTTTCGTTGAGGCTTTACTCTTTATTAGAGATAACAATTTGGCCAAAGGCAGAGGCAGGTGCTGCTGAAATAACACAGCAGGTGTAGATGAAGGGGGAAAAGGGGAAGGGAGCAATAAACAGGGGAAGGATTACAGAGTAGATTGAACATGGTAAACATTGACTGGGAATGATAACAGATTTGATTCTGCACATAGCAGGCTGACTACGTGACAGTGGGCTAAGATGCTTGGCTGCTGTGGTGGTGGCGTTGGTGATTCAGCATAATTGAAATATCTTTTTGTCCTAATCTTTGTGTTAGTATATTGTGTGTTTGTGCTAGTGCAGTTATATTTGTGTTTGCCGAACAACTCTATCTCTGACATTGCTGTCATGTTTGTTGTTGGCTGGATGAGTGTTGCCCCTTTTCAATTGCCTGCCCACTAATACTCAATTTTTCTTTTTCCTTCCCTGCCCTAACCTGTGCCCATTCCCTTTCCAATCTCCTCATACTTTTTCCATCACTTCCCTATTTCCTCCCACTATCTACTTTCAATCACCTTCCTGCATCCTTCCTCCCCTCCTTCCTCCCTCCAGCTAACATCCTGACAGTGGTCATCCTGTCCCAGCTGGTGCTGCGTCGCCAGAAGTCCTCCTACAACTATCTCCTGGCTCTGGCAGCTGCCGACATCCTAGTCCTACTCCTCATTGTTTTTGTTGACTTCATACTGGAAGATTTTATCTTGGGCATGCCGCTGCCTCTGTCACTAAACAATGCAGTGCAGGTCTTGGAGTTCTCGTCTATCCACACCTCCATCTGGATCACCGTGCCCCTCACCATTGACCGTTACATTGCTGTTTGCCACCCGCTGCGCTACCATACGGTCTCCTACCCAGCCCGCACACGAAGGGTGATATTTGCTGTGTATATTGGGTGCTTGCTCTCTGCAGCCCCTTATTACTGGTGGCCTGAGCTGTGGCACAGCCTTCCTGGGGTGGGCAGTGGTGGCGGAGGAGAGGGCAGCAGGAGAACCGTGGCCCAGCATGTCCTGGTGTGGGCCCACTGTGCCACCGTCTACCTCCTCCCCTGCACCGTCTTCTTCTCCCTCAACGCTGTCATCGTTCGTAAGCTGCGCAGACGTCGCAGCTGTTTCCGTCTGCGCGGCTACTCTACCGGCAAGACCACCGCCATTCTCCTCGCCATCACCTCCGTCTTTGCCGTTCTGTGGGCACCACGCACCCTCATGATCCTCTACCACTTCTACTCCTCTCCTCCATCCTCACAAGGGGCCGGCCGACTGCTCCACATGCTCACTGATCTGGCGAACATGCTAGCGTTGCTCAACACTGGTGTCAACTTCTTCCTCTACTGCTTCATCAGCAAGCGTTTCCGGGGAATGGCGGCCAATGTGCTGCGAGCCTTGGTCCACTGCCGGAAGCAGCCGCCACCGTTCTACGCCAGCCACAACTTTTCCATCACAAGCAGCCCCTGGATCTCGCCAGCCAACTCCCACTGCATCAAGATGTTGGTGTACCAGTATGACAAAAATGGGAAGCCCGTCTGTATTTCCTCTTGAGTCCGCAGCCACCAGCAGTCGCCCCCACTCTAAATCATTGGGGAGCATATTCAGGCTTTGTCACCTTGGTGACCAGCTTTGCCCGCATGGGACTCTTTGAGGCTTGAAAATGTCAACACGCCCGGAGAGCACAGAGGTGACAGTTTAGCTAGCTTTGAGCGATGACAAAGTGGTAGGCTAGCAAGGGGGAAAAGCAAACAGCAGGTATTCACAGTGTTCACAAAGCAGCAAACAGCATCAAATAGATGTTGATTGTTTCCTCCACGCAAAAAATAAAGCTACTGTAAGTGACCGACTGCTGCTTGAGTGAGAGTCTCAACTCACTGACTGATAAAGGGATATCACCACCATCTGTCACTGACTTTTATGAGCCACCGTTTGTATCAGTATAAACTGACAACTAGATGAATCCTTGATGAAGCATCAAATGCCCGGTGGTGCTGGTTTCTTTATGGACGCTTTCTGCTGCACACTACCGCCGACGGTGAAGAGCTCTGAACAGCTGCGCCTTTGTCCGTTGGGAGTCATTTCCAGAAAGCAGAGATCCAGCCTGAGTCTGGGCACTAAACATCTCACCTCAAGGGGTGATTCACTCAGGCAGAGTCACCGATGGTGTGTCCACTGCCCGCAGTTCTGACTGTCTCTCAAGCAATGTAAAACAGCGCTGTCATTTCCAGTTTAATATGCAGAGGAGTCTCAAAGGCATGTTAATTTGGGCTTTTATAAATTGAACAGCCCTCCCTGAGTTTCCTCGTGTGTGCTGAGTTCATCCTAGCAGTGCAGGTCACCCACAAGTCGGCGCTCGCTATGGAATAACAAGTTATCCCACATCCAAGCTCACAGATTGTTGTAGCATGAGTAGACTCTCTGCCTATTGTTGGTTAAATATTTATTAATGGTAGACTTGACTGTTATTGTATCTTCACAAAAATACAAGACAAAAAAAATGACTAAGGTGTCATTAATCTAGTAATCACATTTACAATATTAGGAGGAGGAAATTTCTGCTATTAGTAGATAGTCCTCTATTAACTATTAATGGTCCTTGATGACTTACTGTTAGCCATTATCTGGATGAATGTAACTGAACATGTCTTTAACCCTTGAGCTTTCAGGGAGAATGACAATAAAAATAAGAGAGAGAGAGAGAGAAAAAGGACAGAAAAATCCACTCTCCTTCCCTTCGGTTTGTTTTCCCTGTCCAAGGATTTCAGTCTCATGATGCAGCAGTGAATTTGGTCTCAGGGCCACACTGACACCTTTCAGCTCGGCTCATTCTGCTGCTGGCTGCTGGCAGTTCTGTAACATTTTACACCAAAACACAGTCACGTACATCAACTCTCAGTCATCTGTCTTGGTGCTGCCTGAGTCCTGCCTGGTAACAAACCATAAATGTGAACACTCACACAAACACAATGAGCTGTATTGCCCACAGAAAGAGCACATTGAAACCAATACACATCCATTCTCCAGACACCTTGGGGCATTAGCAGTGTTCATCTATCTACTGAGAATGGAAGTGTGCCAAAGGGCAGATTTCTGCTAATACCTGCCTGGAGGGATCAGACACATCAGGCCCTCTTTTTATTTTTAATGGGTAAGGCTTTAAATCTGACGAATGTTAGGAGTGTCTGTCTTAGCTGATAAAGTCATGCCCTCCAAACTCTTGTTTGACACTTAAACGTCTGAGACACTTCAGGGGGTGACTGCAGTCGTGTCATTGCTCTTTCTCTCTCCATAGCAACTGTTAATGCAAAAAACTGGCTGCAGCTGAAAATCAGGGCAAGGGTTTCATTGTTTAGGTCATTTTTCACATCAGTTACAATAATATTTAACTGATCAACTTTATTGCGAATTAGGATAAATTGGGGGTTTTCTTAAGACTGTCTGGTGGCACTGTAATGAGCATGTATATAAGATGAGTATTGATGTTGTTGTCAATTTATAGTATTTTTAACAGTCACACAGCCACAAATGATAGAGTAATTAATTAAGAAGTCCTCGTGTTACTGGTGTTCTGACCCTCTGACAGCTGTCCATTCTCGTCACTATCAAGGTAATGTTTTGGCAAAACCCCAGCTCTGTGTTGCAAGTGTAAAGTTTGGTAAAAGATCTCAGCAATAGAACTGGTGGATAACTAACATCAAGACCTAGATTGTTACTGAAAAAGACTTGAAAAACTCACATTTCCAGTCAGGGCTACACTAAAAACATGTGCAGTATTCACACAGGTTCTAACTGGAGGCTTATGTGACAGTCTCTCCAGTTTCTTTTCCCATCAAAGATTAATTTAACCGAAGAAAACACAATTCTCCAACTTCCAAACCTTTCAGCCCCTTTCAGTTCACTTGTGCACTCAGGCCATAACTGGCTCCTCACTCTCAATTCCCATTTCTTTGTTCCTCCACAAATTGATTTTCTTCAAAATTGCAAAGCGAATGAGGGCGCAGCGATTGCCACTTGCTCCTCATCTCACTCACTCGGTACCTCCTCCCACTCATCCCTCTTTCCTCCCACTTTATGTCAAAAGCACTTGCTCAAAGTTAATTTCACAAGTGTCCTTTTTACTCATTAACTGATTAGCTTGAAGTCTTTTGTGCTACATACTGAGCATGTTGCGCCATCATTTCTCATCAGAAAAATAGATCCATGTCGTTAGGGACCTTGAGCCTACGCTGGTGGATGTTGAGCATTATGTGATGGAGATAGACGACCAAAATGTCAATAACCAGTAATCACTCAGCAAACTCCTTGATTCCCAGTCCAGTAAGGTCATGCTCGGCAGAATGTCACATTTCATTTAGCGTGAAGGCACTAAAATATGCACTTTAATCTTAATCGATATAGCCTCATGATCAGACTGTGATCATTAAGAAAGTGAGATCACAAAAAAAAAAATTTGGGCTTCAGCCTGAGGAGCTCATGCCAGATCAGTGTTGCCATGACATTAACTTCCCGTGTTAACCCCATCCAGTGTTTTGGCCATGTTAATGTGACATTTGTGCGAGAACCAGTACCCGAGTCCTCCTGGGAACGAGGCGGGCATGCTGGGAAAGCAAAGCGAAAGGGATGAGTGGGGGGCACTTGAAAGAGTGTCACATGCTGGTGTCCCTTCGTCTCCCACGTGAGGCACTCTGGAGCAGCTGGGAGTGTGTGTGTATGGGTGAAGGGAGGGGGGGCGATCTTCCCCAATATGAGAAAGAAAAAAAAACAGGATTTATATTTTCTTCAGCCAGATATTAAAAAGATAGCAAAACATAAATCAATCAAAGGTTAAAATGATAGTTTCTCTCTCACACATCCTTCCTCTCCGTCTCTCTCTCTCTGCGCAGCTCCATCCGTATGTGTGGGTTTGTGTGTGCGAGTGTGTGTGCGTGTACACAATGTTCATGTTAGAAAGAAAGAAGATTTTTTTAAAAGTGTTTGTGTCATAGGACCTGTAATGTAAGAAATCAGATATGTATTTATACTCATGATGAATATAATTACATACAGCACAGTATTATAATGATATATCCTTGAATGTACAACTGACGCTTTTGGCATCTTTCTTGGTATTTTTCTGATTGTGATTTTCTACACAACAATCCTTTTTGAGTAGTCTTTTACCTTTCTCCATGGCAGTGTTTCAAAACTGTGTTTTTTGATTGTACTGGAGTGACTATAGGCTTGCATAATTATTTTTTCCCTTCCTAATGATTGTATTGACCTTATAAAGAGTATGTATTATTGTGCTGTGAGAAAGTATGCAGAAACGTATTTGGCTGAATATTTTTGATTAAACAAATAAAATTCGGACATGGTGCCGCCGATGAGCTGTGTCTTTTTTTTCTGCACGTCTTGATATCATTTTCAGTACTGCAATCAACCACAAACACACATGCAAACATATTTGAAGGAAATTAAGAAAATATAGGCAGGTAAACTTCAGCGACTCATATTTAGCAGTGTCTTTGTTTGGACAAATCTAGGTATAGTACATCACTCTGCTGATTTCAGCACCAACACAATGTTCTGCCTCACTGGAAGATCTGGTGGTTTGGTGCTAATTTATGAATATGAGGAGTTTTATTTAAAAAAAGAAAGTCACTACCCCTCTAAATGGCTGGGATTTAATTAAACATCTTCATTGAATTTTGAAAGATTTTTGCTTTCTGAATATTTATGATACCAAATAAACATGTCATAACAAATACTGTTAACCGTTACACACTGTTGAATTACACTTTTTTGGTGGTGCTCTGATTTAAGAGCCCTTTTCTTGATTTCTATGAAGTTCTAAGACATTTTCTGGGAAATCTGATGCAAATTAGAGGAAAAATTGAGATTGTTACTCAGTAAGTTAGTTTAGCACAGAGGGTGAGCTGAACACATACAATGTGACAAACTGATAATGAATTAGCCTAATAGTTACTTGGGTTTACATTTAGATTTTCTTTCAAGGAAATTCATGTTTTAAAAAATTAAATTGGTAAAAGTGTTAAATAAAACCCTTTATATTTATTATAGTAACCTATTTATCACTCGCTGTAGCAGAAAAGCCTCATTCTAACCACAGCTAAACAATATATTAGATTACGAGCTATATAAAAATCTTGGGCAGAATTTCTCGCTTTTTGACATTGTAAAACCTAATCTAAATCCAACTGTTTGTAGAGCATGAAATTGATGTGTGGTATACAGCTGGGTATTATTTGCTTTCAGCTCCACACACTCCATCTGTGAGATTTTTATTTTATTTATTTAACCTTTATTTAGACAGGTAATCTCATTGAGACACAGGGTCTCATTCTCAAGAGAGACATGGTCAAAACAGCAACAGCTGAAATACAACACAAAGTTACAGACAGACAGGACATTCAATAAAGAATCACAAATATGCAAAAGGTGAATTGAATTGAATTTATTGAAGGATAGCCCCTTGATATGCAGCATCTCATTTTCAAGGGGGTCCTATAACACAAATACATAATGATCAAATACAAAACAGAACATTACATAACTACATATAGTACACATACACATTTACAGATAACTTGCACAGCCACTCTCACCCTCGCCCAACACCTGACGATTGCTGAGAATCAGCATGTGCACTGTGACCTGACTTTTAAGCATCCTAAACACACTGCAGAGCTCTTACAACAGTGCTGGCTGCATCCGCTGCCATGCATGTCTATTAGTGTGATAAAAGTTTCTTATAATTCGAGGGGATACACTGCACAATGCAGCAGGGATTTGTTGTTCCACAGCAACAGCTCAACTGTAACAGTCCAGTGTTTGTGTGTGTGTGTGTGTGTGTGTGTGCGCGTGCATTCATGCGTGCCTGTGTGTGTGTGTATGTGTGTGTGCGTGTGTCCAATTAAAGTCTTGACAGCAGCACTGACACTTTGTCCCTGTCAACTACAGAATAAGTGAGAAACATTGAATAGTGCAAATGAGAACCCTCTCTCTCTCTCTCTCACACACACACGCACGCACACACACACACATACACACACACGAAGAAGCTCTTTCATTAGTCAGTGACCTCTTGTTGGAGTCAAAGCAACAAAAGTGTATCACCTTTCAAATTCCCCCAAGTCACATCCGCAGGCACAGTCTTGTTCATATTCACAGTCCACCAATCGTCAACACACAGAGCTCACGACAAACTAATCAACACCTCTCTCTCTCTCTCACACACACACACACACACAAAACACACTCCTGCCAAATCACTGTTAATTGACATTTCGTTGCATGGAAATTCATGTCACCAGCAGCTAAACAAAAGCATTACTGTGTCTGTTTCAGTGAGACAACCTGCAACTGGCCTCTTTTAATAAATCAGCATAGCCACATCGTATACCGGTTACACCGAGGTAACCGTGCTTTTCATCTATACTGTAATATAAAGTAGTTCTTTCTGATACATCTCCTGTCAGCCCTCGTGTGAAGCTTATGCAACAGACGAGGAGAGGAGAGTCACGGGGGAGAGAAAATGAGAGAATGAAGACAGAAAAATGGAAGGAAGGGGAGGAAAAAACAGAGGGGTGTGTGTATGTCTTCATCTGTGTGTGTGTGTGTGTGTGTGTGTGTGTGTGTGTGTGTGTGCACTTACTGCCAAGTCTTACGAGTGTGTTGCTGTAGTGATAAAGATGGATGAGGCTGTCTGCTGTTGCTGTGATTGTGCTGCTGCTGGTTGTGAGTATGTGTGTGTGTGTGTGTGTGTGTGTGTGTGTGTGTGTGTGTGTGTGTGTGTGTGTGTGTGTGTGTGTGGGTGTGTGTGGGTGTGGGTGTGTGCACATGCAAAGATGTATTTATTTATTTATTTGGACCTCGGGCTGGTGTGTGCATTTTGGAGTGAAAGAAAAAATAACAAATGGAGTAAAAAAAACATTATATCCTCACTGCGAGAGAAGGATAA